GTTATACACTGTCGTGAACTGGTTTAAATGGCTACCAGGGAATCATTGAGAACCATGCTTGACAAGAAACAGCTTCACCCCAATAACCTAGAGCAGAATAAATGACTTGTCATTTTAATACTTTGTATTAAAGTTTAAAATGGTGAGGTACCTAACTCTTTTTGTTTGATAAATAACACACATTGTTGTTCCAAACAGAAAGGGTCTTCTTTTGTCTTTTTTTAAATCTTTTGCATACTTGTTGGAAAGAGCACTTTGAGTCACTATTTGACACTTTGAGCTGAGGGCTGATTGGTCCTCTCTTTTTCACTTTTCTCACTGAAAAACCTGCTCTATGAAGGCCAAGAAAGCCTGCATGTGAAACTATAGTAGAACCAAACTATCACCATTATCAGTTGTTCATACAAAACATGGAATTAAATTGCAACTTGACCTTGAATCAAGGCGATGCAAGTGTAAAGTCATCATATTGCGTTATTTCAGATGTTTCACATTTGAGTTTGGTAGATGAAATGACGTCTCTTGGAGAATAGTGTCTTCAAAGCATTTATCTTGCTGCAGCCTGAGCCCACACAGGCAGCTGTACAGCCACCTGCACTGACACATCAGCTCCATGTGTTTCTCTAAAGGCTAATTTTATGACATGGAAAATGAGTAATGTATGGAATTTGCAATAGTTCTGTAGACCTGAAAACTATTCTTTTTTACTGACAGAGAACATGTTTTATCTCCAAAACATACCACGTGGACATATTGTACATCAGCACGTGGAATCATACTTTCTACATTTATATTGTTTTTATTTATACTATTTTCCAGTGGACTACTTTAATTTACTTCTGATGATTTCAATTGCTAACCGGGCTGTACAGATCATATCACGTGCCAACAGCTTTAAAAGGCAGCAACATTATAATAAAAAGTTCTCAACAGGAAAAGGAAAACATTTCACATCCATGTCCAGGGCAGCTCCTGATTGGCTCTATGGTTGCTATGTCGTTGCCATCAGTAAATTTGGATCCAGATTCATGCTCATGGCGCCTGTTTGTGTTAGCTCTTATCGGCTTCTTCCTCAATAAGACAAACACTATGAGTGACGTAGGCACTTTGTTCGGCCTCCTTTTATGATCGATGATTCTCACCCATTTCCTGACTTGGCACTTGATTACAGTTTTTCTGAGGCTTCTCTGCTGACTTCACCGCAGACCTTATTTTGACTAATGGACACACTTCTCTTTTCCACTATTTGGTGAACTGATAAGACTGACTTTTGGTAATTTCATTCATGTTTTTTCACACCCACTGAGTTTGTGGTTGCTCTGTGTGTAGGCGGCTGCTACAAAGGCCATTCTCTCTCCTGCTGGAAAACATTATGCTAGCATCCACAGAAGAAACATAAGACTGAAATTGTTTGACGTTCAAAGAGGAAAAGACGGGGCTGAAGATTTTGACGATTAGATGTTGACTTATATTTGGTTCATGTGTCACGTGGTGGAAATGCAGGAAGGACCCAAAATGCAGGAATGCCAAAAAATTATTATTTAATGATAATAAAATAAAAGTCCATGTAAAACTCAAAATCCAAAGGCTCTAAAAGAATCAAGGAAACAGGAACAGACAAGGACAAGACGAAGGTTGACAAGACAATGGACCAGCAACAAGGGGAGAGGAGCACAGGGTACATATAGACACAGACACAGGTGAAACACATCAGGGCGGGGCAGACAGGTGAACACCACAAGAAGTAAAACTAAAACCAAAGCACAGGGTGCTGATGTCAAAATAAAACCAAAATACAAAAATAAAATCCACACCATGACATCATGGTTCAAAAACACAATTATTTTATAGTTTTTGAGTGACGTCTGTTTCAAATGGTCAACAATCATTAGCTATCTAGGCGTTATAAGCATGTACTTTATAGAGTAAGCACTTTTTCAGACTTTGAGAAGTAAACATTTGTAGCAGCACTGTAATTTTCCTGTCTGGAATCTGGATTTATTTATTATTTTTTGGGAGCGGTAGATGTTTGCAAGTCCTGGTGCCTCCTTGTGATGTTGTTTTGCAGATTTTAAAATAAACATCTTGAAATGAGAATGAATTACCCAAAAAGCTGAATTACAGGATAACTATCATCTCATGCGTAAGTCAGAGCCAAATATTTAGGTCGATCTGACAAACAGCCACAAGATACGCTCGTGACAAACAGATGCAGGCGCTCCTTACTTTATATACTGTAGATGGTGGATTATGCAGAAATCCCTGCTTGATTTCCCTCTTATCTCCACAGTTCTAACCTGTAACCTGGTGTCTATTCTTTCCTCTATAGAGATTAGTCAAGCCAATACCATTGGACATTATGTAAGATTTTACTGTTTGTTTTTTTTGCTTTTACCGAAGATGGATTTGTCTGGACTGTTGAGATCATGTCCACGCTCTGCAGATTTAGCACATTAGCACACACACTGACTCTTATCTGGTGAACACAGCTTAATGGGAATAATGTAATCACGTATTCTTTATTTCTGCTTATCTCCGAGGCCTCAGGTGTGCACGATGACAGCACAAACATGAAAAGATAAATTAGCGTGTGCTTTGCTTTTATCCCTCCTGCGCGCCTACTGTAACCTCTCTCTTTGTGAATTATAAACTGAACTCTATAAATAGCCACGCTGACAGTAAGTTTCGTTAAATATAGAAGATCAGTATTACGACAGCTATTACAAAAGGCTTTGATGAGTTATGAGCGATGCGCAGACTGTGGAAAAACAGTAAAGGACAAATTATGCTGTACTTTTGTCCCTTGACAAGCTCTGATTTTGTTAATAATTATTAGAGATTGGGTAAAGATATGGGTTTTCTTAGGCTGATGGGGCAAAGAATGAGAGGAAATCTTTGTAGAAGGTTTTCTGGTCTTCTATTTTTAAATTTTTTTTTGGTTCTTTAATTTTTTACATTACAGGGGTATTTCAAACAAATTATGACGTTTTTTTGTGTGTGTTTGGATTTTCTGAAAAAATAATGAGTTGGTTTATGTAATGATACTATCTACGGATTTAAAGATTGTTATATTTCTTGTATGTTATAGTTGGGAGAAGAAAAAAAATGTGTTTGTTTCCTGAGAAAATAACATTTATGGCCAATATTGGAAAGAAATTGAAAGTAACTGATGGATTTCACTTACGTTCCTTTATATCTACCATTCTATCACATAATATCCATCCTTCTTCCGCTTTATCCATTGCCGTTCTCATCATATCATGTAAATTATAATCATCCTCATCAATGTCTCATTTTGTGCATTTCTTTAAGATATTTGTAACCAGTTGTGCCTGCAGACTTTCATATGAACGCACTAATATTCATAACCAAAACCAAAAAGTTGGAAGTGGAAAAATCCCTCTAGCAAAATGAAGCGCTCTCAAAAGTGAACTTTTGCTGATGAATTATTAAAGTTAAATTGAAGATGCAGACTCACGAATCCACTGCAGAGAAATGTATGTATTTGAAAATGCTTACAGTGAGTTTTTGCTCTTGCATTGATGTTATAACGTGCTCTGCTGAACCTCCAATCTGAGCTGCTTTCTGTCTGCTCTCTTGATATATTTTATAATACCTTCTTTCTTGAATATCTTTGTATATTATTTGTTTGTTGAAAAATACTCTTTTTAAAAAGTCTTTTTCTAACTTTATTTTTGAACTGTTTTGCTGATATTGTTCCCAAATATAACTCTCAGCGATCACCATTAACCACACTAAATACAATATTCCAATAACTGATACTTATTTTGTTTCTATTTAAATGGACTTTTCCAAGTCTGTCACATTATATTTTGCTGGGCACACACAACCCACACTCAGCTGCCCAGTTGATACATACTGAGGTGGATGAATAATTCACAAGGGTTTCTTTTTCCAGTGACATTTTCATTCTGTCCCTGAGACGCTTCTCTAAGATATTTTTCCCTCTGTCTAAAGCTCCACTCATGTTTTACACTCACAGTTTCCACACAGGTGTCAGTACACAGTGCGCCGCCGTTCACTGAGACAATTATGTGTATGAATCACTGAGCACATTAGCCTGGGGTTTAGCCATGCCAATGCCAGCCATGCATCCATTTTATTCTGCTTCATCCATTGCTGGGTCATGGAGGCAGCAGTCTGCAGACAGTCCACTAGCAATACTTCTCCCAGCTCATTCAAGGGACCGCTTGTATTCGCAATCTCGTCCTTTTAGTCATTACCCAAAGCTAATGACAACAAGGGTGGGAACTTAAGATTGACCGGTGAATCGAGAATTTTGCCTTTTGACTCAGATCAATACACATGCTTTATCCTTCCCTCACTCGTGAACAAGACCCCGAGATATTTGATATCCTCCACTTGAGAAAGAACCTCTCCACCCACTCCCTCCGGCTCTTGGCTGCACCTAGAAATGTTGTCCATCAGAACAGAAAACAAAACCGTTGACAGTTGTGACTTACTGCCGACGATGTAAACACTGCTCTGACTCCGGTCACACAGGGACTGGACAGCCCTCAGCAGAGGACCCCAGACCTCATACACCTGGAGAATTCCCCAAAGGACATCTGGAGGAACGCAGTTGAACGCCTTTTCCAGATCCATAAAGCTTATATGGGATTTCAAATCTTTTGCAGCACACCTGACTCAAACTTCACTCAAAGCTGACTCAAACTTGAGTCATCCTGCTTTTTCTTTTGACCACAATTTTCAAGTATGGAATTAAATTGATCCTCTTTCATTATGGTCTGAAAAGGAAATTCACAATATCCTGCAAAAAGTTGCAAATATTAGTTACTTTAATTATGAGTAGCACTTTCACGGTGGTCGAAGGGGGCACTGGGGCATGACCAAGTCTTTGTCATAATAGGCATGTATATGTGTGCAATTTCTTCTTCTTGTCATCATCCTTTTCACATTTATAAAATATTGTGTCTTTTTGCCAGACCTGTATCAAAGTTTATTTTCTTTTTTCTCAGCCTCAAAGCTCTGGTGTCGACAGGAGGCCGAAGTGTCCAAGCCGCGTGTGACTGGTGAGTTAAGTTTACACATGTATATTGTCCCAACTTGGTTACACTGGTCACATCTGCTGATGTTCAGCTTTTCAACTAGTTCTTTTTAATTAAATTGAATTCTGTAAAAACATTTTCTTTGGACAACATGTTATAGATTTGTATTTCTACTTTTTAAGTCATATTTGATCTAATATTATATAACTAAAGTTAACTTCTGACAGACAGTTCACACCTGTCATTCCGTATTAGAGCCCCACAGAGACTGACCAAATCGAGCTGAATTGTCAAAATAGGTGGATCACAATAAATGGCCCTATATTCCAGCCTTAGCCACCATTACATTACACAGCTGTATATTTCCGTTCTCAATGTGTCCAGGCTGTTCTCCCACGTTGACGATCCGTTCCTGGATGACCCCCTGCCTCGGGAGTTTGTGTTGTACCTTCGCCCCAGTGGTCCTCTCCAGAACCAGCTGTCCCACTTCTGGCAGCAGAGTCGGGTCACCTGCGGCAAGAACAAGGCCCACAACATCTTCCCCCACATCACCCTCTGCCAGTTCTTCATGGTGGGTTCAAGTTCACGTCTGCAGGTCTGAAAAATGAGCATAAAGAGGGAGAGCATTTTTGGAACGTACCTGCTGATTGGAACAAGAACTACTGAAAGTATATTTTTATGGCACTTTCCTGATATCTATTATTTAAAACTTTTCTCAAAAATGACATGTGTTGTTTGTTGTTGTGAACAAATCAAACCCTTTTTTGCATACTCAGAGAGGGCCCCGAAAGTCACTTGATCCTTTGAGCTGAGAGCTGATTGGCTGAGCAAGAGTGTGCGTATTTTTTTACTTTTCTGTCTGCAACAGCTGATCTCAAGATGCAGCAGAGGCCAAGAAGTACACACATGAGAAAACTAGCGATGGAACCAAATGGATTTTAGTGCAATGAACTTGTTAGATAGACTTTTTTGCATTGTTTTTTTTACTGAGATTTGATTAGATCGACTTTAAAACATGAAATACATTAGAAGTTGCAGACATTTCATCTAAGTCTCTTGATTTATTCCTCACATTCCTCACAGTTTTACCCAATCTACACCTATTTTTGTTGTGAATAAAGATCAGAAAAAGAGAGAGGAGTAAACGCTGCAGTGTCCTCAGTGACACTTACAGGTGCTCGCCAGGATCAGACCTAATGCAATGAAACAAATTCTGATACAAAGTCAAAAAGTTGTTTTTTCATTGTTAAGCATTCATTTAGAAGAATAATAAAAACATGTTCAAACGGTGATAAAGGAAACCCTTTAGTACGCGTAGGAGAGAGAGTGACTTCCTCTGCATATACCGTAGCGAGTGATGGGAGAGAAGTTAAGGTCAGAGAGTTTTACAGTCTGTGTCTTGTCTCCCTCTGTGTGTTTGTCTGTGTGTGTTTGTGTGTGTGTGTGTGTGTGTGTGTGTGTGTGTTATAGGAGTGAGAAGAGCCACGTCTGCTTTTGTTGTTCAAGCCCTTTTCAAACAGTTTATTTCTGGTTATTTTGTTTACTTTTACAAAATCAAATGAATTGTGGTTTCCCCAGTGTGCAGATCACAAAGTGGAGGCTCTGAGTGAGTGTCTGCAGAGCACGGTGCAGCAGTGGAGGGGCCGGTTCCCCAGCCCGCTGCCCCTGGAGCTCTACACCTCCTCAAACTTCATCGGACTTTTTGTGGACGAGCAGGTGGCCGACGTGCTCAAGCAGTTCGCCGCCGACTTCGCCACGGAGGCAGCCCGGAAAGCAGGTATTACTGTCAAAACCTCTTACTTAAAGCTGGGGATGGCTAACTATTCAAACCACAAAATTTAGAACTAATATTATAGTGTCCATCTTCCTATAGTTTCTGTCTCTCCAGATCCGTTTGGCTCTATCATTAGTTTTTATGTGCATGTATTTTTTGGCCTCTATCACACCTTTTAGGTTTTTTCAGACAGAAAATTGAAAAAAGAAAAAAAAACAAACCAAAGTGTCAAAAAGTGGCTCACAAGACTATTTCTTACAAATATATAAAAGATGACATGTTTTCTATTAAGATTAAGACAGCATTTTGTGGTCTGACTTTTACTTTTTCTGTTTGGAAAACCCAATGTATTATTCATTTCAGCAACAACAACAAAATGATGTAAAATGGAATTATTGATCTTCACATTCCATGATTCATTCATTCCACTCTGGTGAAAGGTACTGCGGCTCAGGGTAGGACTGACAGCGGCGAAAATAATACAGAAATTAAAATAATAATGAAGATATGCACAATTATGCACGATTAGAGGAACATTTTTGTAATCATTATTATTGCTGAGTGGAGTTTGCATGTTTTTCCATGAAACAAGAAGTAATATAGAGTGCTTACTATGGCAACCACTGCTCCTGAGAGGGGCATTGCAGGAATGAGTCAAATATAACTTTACTCATTTAAGTGTTGTCAGTATTGGCTCAGCTCTGAACCTGAAACCAAAGTGTTCCCCTCCTTTGAGTTTCAACTTTAACCCAAACCTCAAACGTCTGATTTTAAAAGTCACGCCAAACAGAGCAGGATGTTGAAACAGTAGTTTGACATTTGCTCTATTATCAACTGAAAAAATATTCTGGAGAACACAGAGTCGTTAGATTTTAGTTGTGTTTACGTCCTGGATTTTATGAGAATATTCAAACAATATTGATTTAGAACGGCACAGTGACTCCACGTTGTATCTGCCATTAAAACATAAGATTTATCTGTTCATGAAATATTGACTTAAAGGCATATACTGTAGGAGGATTTCCCCAAATTTTATAAAAGAACCACCCTCTCCACTTAAAAAAAATAATAAAAAATAAAAAAACACTCTTGATGATCCACCCGGAAGTAGAAAATCCTCCTATATACCGTTACATCTGTAGGACTGCTATTACTATTATCTCTTCTAATACATTCCATGACAATTATTTTTATTTATGTTAAATCAATCAAATCTAATGAATAAATAATGATATCGTAAAGTCAATTCCCAGGATCTTCCTTTGGACATGCAAGCAGCAATGTTAATCGCCACAATCTGTGTGTGTGTGCACTTAGATATTACAGATACATATCTACAGGTAGGGAGGGTTTGGTCTCTTGTGGTCTCTTTTTCCATTCACAATATCAACATAGTTTTACTGTGTGAATTGAAATGACCAAAGTGCTTTCTGTTCCTGCCACTCACTTCACACTGCATTTACTCAGTGTGTGCAGAAACTGTAATATGCCCACTGACTCTTTTAAGCTGCGGAGTAGGTGCCAAATCAGATTAGAACTGGGCTGTTGGCGCTAATGCTGTCATGCACCGTGCATTTATGTTCAGCCATGAAGGGGGAAAGTAAGCGTCAACAAGGACCTGACTTGGAAATGATGAACAGACTGCAGTCGACTCCTTTGGATGCTCAAGTCTGTTTTCATTATACTGTTTCTAAATGCATTAAAGAAGGCATGTTGTACTGTGGTCTGCTATAAATCATTAGCTAGAATACCCAAGAATAAATATATTTTCTAAACATTTGAAAGCTTTTTGCTCCTGGTAAATGTGTTGTAAGATAAAAGTATGATTTGCATTTTCTTTTGAATGTTTTATTGCACAGAAAAAGTGAAAAAATGTAATCTTCCAAAGTGTTGCTAAAAATTGAACACCATGAAGAATGTTCTGGAAGAGGAGTTTAACATATATTTGCTTGATGAAGGCATAACGCCGAAACGTCACACTTCCAATACATTTTTTTAAATTTGCAAGTAAGACGGTGTGAGGGAATCTTTCTCTCTATAACATATATTTTCTTGGAATGAAAGTTCAATACATTATCCTTGATTCCTAATATTAATATAAAAGGATTTATTTGAAATGTAGTAGTCCCCCTACTGCCCTATTGTATTACTGAATTGTTTACCATGCATCAGTGAATTGTCATCCTAACAAAGTGCTGTAGAAAACGACGCAGCAAGTATTTATTTTAAGTATGCCAAAATGCAGAAGAACAACTGACACAGTAAACACTGGGGCTATGCCAGTTTTGTTTGGACTAATTTATAAAAATAAAAATAAAATGATTTAGCAGATGTCTTTTTTAAACATGTTGATTTCTTGTTGCAGAAGTGCACGTGGAGCCTCATAAGAAGCAGCTCCATGTGACGCTGGCCTATAACTTCCCTACGGACCACCTGCCCTCCCTGGAGAAACTGGCCAAAGGCATCGAGGTCAAGCTGGGCTGTGATTGGCTGGCTGTGCTCTTCTCCCGGGACATTCGATTTGCAAACCATGAGGTGCCACATCAATAACATGAATGAATGAGTCTGGTGTGTGTGTGAATGGTTGGTGGTGGTCAGTGGGGCTGATGGCACATACTGGGTGCCTCGCTTCTGTCAGTCTGTCCCAGGGCTGTGAAAGAATAGGAACTTATGAAGCATCTTTGAGTGTCCAGAAAAGTGCTATATAAAGCCAAAACATTATTATTATTTATTAATGTATTCAGTCACTGTTTAATGAATACTACTCTTTATTTCTTGTGTTTACCTGTAACATAGTTTTTTAAATATTCGTAGGAGTCCAAATTATAGTTTTACCTTCCTGATAATTTTCTCAGAGTAATTATTCACCACTATAATCATCGCCCCTGTAACAGTTTTAAGAGCACAGAGCTAACTAGAGTCACATCCATAAAGAACTCCTGGTTTTTCAGCTCTGTAATTAGATAAAATTGCAGTAAATTATCTCAAAAACTACTTTCGTAATATCTGTTTTGGGACTTAACAAAACTACATATTAAATGTACCCAACTTCTGTCTATTGCTTCTGTCACATATTATGCAAAAATAGACCAAGAGATGTTTTTAGCTCCAACCATGCTGATATGTAGCCTGACTCTCGCCAGACCCATGTAGTTCGCTGCACTTCACACATGAGTCTGGTATTGAGCCATAGTGGTTGGATTTCAGAAGGCAGGGCCTTGTAAAAAATATCCTTGTATGTGATTGGATAGACCACTTGTCCGTTATCTTGAATGAAGTCTGCTTTCAACCACTCACATCAAAGCACACGGCTCCCATAGGTTGCCAAATCCCAGCAAGATTTTCCAACCCAAAATCCGCGAGAATACCCACACACAAAAAACACTCAGAATGATTTTTTGGCTAAAAACGTAATATAATCAACTTGGGCTATCATGATTCTGTTTATTGTCTTTCTGTTTATTTAATACCTACAAGTTTCTTGGAAAAAAATATGCGGGAACCACCAAACCTGCTGCATAGTGTGTAAACAGGAACACTGAACCAGTGCTTCAACCAAACTTTACAGGAACATTTGACTCTTAAAACACACATATATCAACATAGAACCATCTACATCTCGCCTCAAATTGCATTAAAAGTGACATCCGTGTCTTAATTCGATCGTATTTACTGTTTCAACCCCACGTTACTCTATAAACCCCACGTAACACCGGCAATCCTGATTGGTCGATTAAAAAATAATCTGGGGAAGGCGTTCACTATGGCGTCGATACCAGACCCATGTGGTTCAGCCAAACGAGTCTGGTGGAGCATGGCGGAACTACAAGGGTCTGGCAGAGCCAGGCTAGCTGATATGAGCAACTTCTGACACAAATTGGCCCCTGCCACTTTTCAAACTTGACAAATACACGATGACGTCATGGACAAACCCATTTTCTGTATTTTAAAACAAAATGATTCTGCCCAGTATTTGGAATATATATACATTCAGATAGCATTTTTATCCTTGATGCGTCTGCCGCCATATATTTTCTAATTAATGTCTTATTTCACATTCTGAAACATAAAATGAGAAAATAAAAAGTCTCAGGATTTGTTTACCATCCAAATGAATCCTCAGTATCTCTGTGATGTTGTTCCGTTGTCTTGGCAGACGTTGCGGGTGCAGTATCCGTACACTCCGCAGAACGAGGACGAGCTGGAGCTGGTTCCAGGGGACTACATCTTCATGTCTCCGGTCGACCAGAACAGCACCAGTGAGGGCTGGGTGTTTGGGACCTCGCTCTCCACAGGGCTGTCCGCGCTGCTGCCCGAAAACTACATCACGCTGGCTGACGAGTCCGACACCTGGGTCTTTCACGGGTGAGACGAGACAAAAGGGGAATCTGAGTGTGGGTCACCAGGAACGCAAAGTCAGAACTGGAAAGCTTTATACTAGTGTTGGTGTGTCCAACAGTTTAGTTTATTTATTTATGGGAATTAGGACAGTACTTAGTATTAATAATGTGTCAAAAAACCTCTTTAACGTAAATATGCTGGAATTATCACAATAGCTTACAAAGAGAGAGTCCAAGGAAAAGCATACATTCATTTATGGGGGCAAGTAAAAAAGACAAAAAATACATACATACAGAATACATATATGGATTGTATTTTTTTAAATTGTATTTATAAGTTTATCAAGCCTGGTCATGTACTGTGTAGATTTCTATGAAAATCCATTGAATTATTTACTTTATCTGTTACTCTGTTTACCTCTGTTAATTGGAATCAAGCTGAGTGAACTGAACTATTCAGATTCAGAAAACTTTATTGATCCCAAAGGGCAATTCATTTGCAGCATAAACTCAAAGCAGAACACACATACTCTCCGCAAACACACAGTGAGTCACACAGTTCACACAGCAGCAGGTTACACAATATAAGTTAAAAACAAAAATGAACTACACCATTCCCAAAGGTCAAGCACCTCCACCAGAGTTCAACAGTTTTATGGCAGAGGGCACAAAAGAATTGGAAAAATTGTTTGTTTTCCGCGCTGGAGCATAAAAACAACTCCCAGCTATTGCATTTTACTAAGCATCATTAATAATCCTTTTTTTTATAGAGGCTGCATAGATTTGTTTATTTATTTTTATATTATAATGTATGGGCCTCCTGTGGACTCACCACCTGCAGAGGATCAGTGAGGGGCTGGTGCTATGAGACTTGGGTGGCATCTCTGATTGCCACCCCCCTGACCCAGAAATGGATTAAAGGGTAGAAAATGGATGGATGGATGGATAATGTATGGTGTCAGTGATTCATCCATTTTTCATGTTTTACACAAGGTTCATAATAAAAGTCACAAAACCATCATTGTTCATTAGATAGTTAAATGTATATAAATGTATAGATTATTGATATTTTTTCTTGATCTTAGGTGGCACTTATATTAATTAAAATCAAGCTGAGTGAAACATGTTGAATGAATGCTTTGACGACTCAAACATTTCATTGCTTGGGTGCCATACATCTTCCCGTCTCCACCGTATTTTAACTTTATTGTCTGCCTGGGTTTGAAGAGTAATTAGACTCGGGGCTCATATATTGTCCCTCCTCAACAGCTCGCACTCCTTCTTCAGCCGTGGTCCGTCTGAGAAGAGCTCTAAGGACAGGGGGATGCTGGACGCGCTGCTGGACAGTCGCCGCCCTGAAAACTCCAGCCCTGGAGACACGCCCTCCCTCAGCCTCATCTGCCATCCCATGCAGGTTTGTCATATAGTTCATTTACTCTTTTTCCATGGACCTTTGATCACAATAACAGTTTATGATGGAAGATGTATTGATTGAAAGAAGTATTGTGATATACAGTAATATGCTATTACTTTATGCCAATTTCAGCAGGAGTGTCCAACTCATTTTGGTGGGGGTGAAGTAATATCTGGTCACAAGTGGTTTTCTTAGTTAAACGTTAGGAGATAATTGTTACATTGCATCATGTTTTAAAACTCATAATTTTGAGTTTTAAACTCATAATTTTGACTACAGAAAGTCAACTCAAAATTATGACTTTCTGTAGGCTTTTTTTTTTTTTACATGGCGGAAACGGGCTTCCATAACAATATCAATATCTATTACATATTACAATAAATCAAATGACCTAGTTGAACATTATCTTTAGCATGAGGTGCCATGGTAACCACTAACCATATCAACATATTACCATCAATGCAAGAAGTTATCTCTTAGAAACTGAAACTGAAACTGGTTTTATCACAAACGTGATCTGCAAGACTAAATTTCCATCCTTGCATCTCCCACCACAATGTGTCCCTTTGATCTGCAACAACAGGTGTTTTTAATGCGTGGGGGCGTTGCTTTTGTGCTTTTGAGTAAATGTTCCTCCAGTACAGCATTCAGGGTTTCCTACTGAACCAGAGCAGAGACAAAGGCCAGAACCAAACAGAACAAGCTATTTTGATGTATTCTGGAGCCTCTTAAGTAAACATTAAAATCAAATTAAAAGGGCATTAAAATGATTAATAACCACAGTGCATTAAGAGATTACAAGAATGGGGGCGACAGTGGCTCAGTTGGTAGAGCATTGCCCTTTGAGCCTGAAGGTCATGGGTTTGAGCCCACCACAAGACTTTCTCCACCGACTCCCACTGATGTCTGCTGTGGGACACTCAACCCCACTTTGCCTGAAGCCCCAGCTGAAAGATCAAGGCAGTATGCCATAGAGCAGCCATCCTCCTGTGGACTCACCACCTGTAGGAGGATCAGTGAGGCCCCCGACCCAGAAATGCATTAAGGGGTAGAAAATGGATGGATGGATGGAAGAGTGAAGATACAATCCTTCAGTTGCATGAACGGATAAACAGAACTGTTTTAACCTGGATTTGAACATTGTCAGAGTAGCAGCCTGTCTCACATTTTTAGATTATAGCGACATGAATCTGAAATGCAGCCTCCCCATGTTTAGTCCTGACTCTGGGAACCAGCAGGAGGCCAGTCCCTGTGTTCCCCACAGTCTGAGTTGGTTCATATGGCACTAACATGTCACAGATATACTTTGTTCGAGGCCGTGGAGAGACATGTACACAATCAGAGCAGAGTAAATAAGAAAGTATTTACTGCATCTATCTATATTGAAAACACAACAGAAATAATGCATAGACATTTAAAATGTAAATCTGTCTGCAGCAGGTTCTGCGGATCAGTGGCAGTCACTCGCGACAGCCCAAGAGGACACTTTTTGTCTGTCGTCACGGAGAGAGGATGGACGTGGTGTTTGGGAAGCACTGGCTCTCCCTTTGCTCTGACAGTAAAGGTAATTTCTCTCCAAATTGTGCATATTTAAGCAGCTACTACAGTGGACTCTGTAGCGTAGGTGATAAATACTCGAGCTTATCCATAGCATCAGCCCATTTCTACACGTAATTTATTATCTGAAAATGGCTCGATTTATCTCTGAAGGGAAAAAGAGGAGCATTCATCACTTTAGCTTCTTTTTACACACGCTATAAATCATTTGTAGATTCATGGCTGTGGGGGTTGTATCACACATGACTGAAAACACTGCTTTGTTATAATTACTGAAGACTTTTTGTGTCATTATTTTTCATAGCGTTGCATAGTCATTATTGTATTGTAGGGCGACAGTAGCTCAGTTGGTAGAGCATTGGCCTTTGATTGATTGATTGATTGATTGTTATTTATTTGAGCATTTTACAAACATATTTTTCATTGTTACACTGTTATAAAGTGGCTCAAAAGGAGTAGGCTGAAGCAAGAAAGCTTATTAGTGCCCACCCCCTGTTCCAAGTGATCACTTTAAGCTGCAGACAATAACCGTGAACACAGGCATCATACAGTTTACATACAATAAACACAAGTTCCTGAGTTACCCAGGCACATGCACATCAGAAGGTGCATGGGCCTGTTTACTTACAAGCAATTAGTGAATGATCATTTCCATACATAGGCACACCCAAGGCTCTGTGGATGTGCTCATCCATGATCACAATCAATTCTACGATTACTGTTGTCCAGGTTAACCAAACACACGTCAGCATTGATTAGAAAAGCATACATGATTATACAATATATCACAAGTTTTTCACACGACTGCCAAGGTAAAATAATCATTATTATTTTTATGTGGGTTTATATATTCATATATACACATGCATACACATACACATACACACACACATTATATATATATATATATATATATATATATATATATACATACACAGACATATATATATAATTTTTTTATTTATTTATTTATTTATGTTTTCTTCATTTCGTATGATAACCATATACCATCATTACCTAAGAATACCGATCACCAATCTTTTGACTGATCAGGATTTCATTATTATTTGCATTACATTTGTCATCATTTTTCTTTCTCAACAATACATAATCATGATTATAAGTCCCCTTACCATCATTCCCATTTTAGAATCACATAATTTATTTGCACTACACATTTTTGTAGAATGTCCTCTTGCCGTCATTCTCGATTCACTATAAGATATTGGTTGTGACTGTAGAATTACTTTTTGTTGTTTGCCTTTTCAAGTGAGATGCATTAAAAAGCAAGGGCGTGACGTGGCCAGTTGGCTGAGGGCAGAGACCCCCCCATCAGCTAGCCACACCCTGCTGCCCTAACTATGTATTGTGTAAGGTTTTATGTCCTGTGCCGGGTAGTGCTTTGAATTTGAGGTTGGTGACACTGGTTCTTTCGGCAATGATGTGGTTAATCAGATTCACGATAATACTTAACAGATTACATGTCTTTAGCATATTTCTCAAACACACTTCTCTTGTATCGTTTTTTGAATAGCTGTAAACAAGCAACATTTTTTAAGGGTTCCTCTAGATTATTCCACAATTGTACACCTCTCCGGGTAATACAGCAACTTTTTAAGGAAGAGTGAACACTTTGAACTTTGAGTTTATGAGTACCTCTGAGGTCATATCTTCCATCTCTTTTACCAAACATTTGTTGTATGTTGCTAGGGAGCTGGTTATTTACAGCTTTATATACCTGTAACAGAGTATTATATTTTATAAGATCATCAAATTTCATTGTGTTTGATTTTAAAAACAGTATATTTGTGTGGTCCCTATAACCGACGTTATGAACGATTCTTATGGCCTTCTTTTGAAGTCTATATAAAACCTCTAAATGACTATTGAAGGTATTTCCCCAGACCTCTGAGCAATAGTTTATGTACGGTTGGATTAAGGAACAGTACAGGGTGAAGAGAGCCTTTTGGTCCAGAAAAAATCTACATTTGCCCATAATTGCCACATTTTTTGCCATTTTCCCTCGAATGCTATCTATTAAGCCTTAAGCCCAGAAGGTTGTGGGTTCAATTCCCACCTCTGCACCTTCTCCACCGACTCCCACTGATGACTGCTGTCGTTGTGTCCTTGGGCAAGACACTTAACCCCACTTTGCCCAAAGCCCCCACTGAAAGATCAAGGCTATGCTCACACTCAGAGAGCAGCCGTCCTCCTGTGGACTCACCACCTGCAGAGGGTCAGTGAGGGGCTGGTGCTATGAGACTTGGGTGGCATCTCTGACTGCCACCCCCCTGACCCAGAAATGGATTAAAGGGTAGAAAATGGATGGATGGAGGGTCGTTTGCACTTCATCCATCATTCATGTTTAAACGTTCAAAAGCTCTAAGTCGGGTTGTTATTTCACCTTTGTGCTCCAGACTATAGTACCAATACCATTTTGATAATTAGTCATATTGATTATATTTTCCTGTTACATTTGTGTACAGCTAGTTTTGTATATGCTCCACTGCAAAAAGTGATAAAATATGAGGTAATACATTTTCATCAATTTTCATGTAACTTTGAGTACTTTCTGACTTAAAACAAGATTTGCCAATGGGACAAAGCTATTTAGTCTTATTTTAAGAACTGCTGCATTTTATTCTCATTCTAAATTAGATATGTCTTGTAAAACATTTGGCTTGTCTCAATGGCAAATCCTGTTTTAAATCAGTCAAAATGTCTCAAAATGTGCTCAAAAACAGATACTTTTAGCCAAATTTTAGCATTTTCTTTACTTATTTTTCATAACTTTTTGCAGTGATACATTTACATTAGTAATATACACCATATTGTATATGATGTATATTGTTACAGGGGAATAGAATGAATAACTTTATTGTCTATAAGGTATAGGGATGACGGAAAGGTGTCTTTAGCTTGCATATAAAGTACATATACAAGACAAAAATAGAGATTGTGACATAAGAATTTTGAACTGAATACATAAGCTTTAAATTGGCAGTCTAGTCGGTCCATTCCGTCCAGACACAACAGCTGAAAGAAGTCAGTTATTGTTGTACCTGCACTGAATTGACCCTTACATTTGCTTTGATAAAAGATAAAAATGGCTGCTTATACAACTAGTCCTTCGGATTTATTTTATTTGATTCTATTATTTTTGTATTTATTTATGTATTTATTTGTCTATGTGTTTATTTATCTGAATTTCCTGTAATTGTTCCTTTTCTTTCTTTTTTCATTCATGCAGATCTGTGATGCACTGTATCGTACCGCAAATTTCCCTTGGGACAATAAAGTTTATCTTATATTATCTTATCTTATCTATTTGAATGGGACAGTGCATATCAATGAACAGACACATTAGAAACATGAATGTAAACGTGCCAGATTGTAGGCCAATCCCATGTGGTTTTGTGTTTCTCCAGGTCGATACGTCCGTTCAAACTTAAACATGCCTCCGTGTATCCCGATGTGGGGAGGGCAGCGCGACTACGACATGGACGCTCCCATCACGGTGTTAGGATGCACACAGGCGCGTCTCGTGGGTAAAGCAGATATTAACCTTCTTTTCTTGTGAAATATGTGCGTGCAAATAGTGAACGTGAGCTTTTGCATTTCCAGGGGAGGCCTTGTTAGAAAGCAACACAGTAATAGACTTTGTGTACTGCTCTCCTTCATTACGGTGTGTCCAGACAGCGCAAAACATCCTCAAAGGTGAGCGAAACATGCCACTGACTTTACGCCAGAAAGATCACTAGTGTTTAACACTGCTTTGGACCATATGCAAAGTGTTATTTGTACGGGTTTTGTGGGATATAAGTTCTTCAATAGTACATGACATCACAACATTCCAAAGGTTGGTATTGGTAACTGTCAAAAGACTTTGTTTATAGACAATTTCTCTGTAATTCCTGGACTAATCCACATGAAACAACAACCGTCACAAAGTTGGACTTCTTCTTTGTCAGTAAATCAACTATGGTCTAATTACAGTATTTTCTCATGAAGTTGTAGGAGTGACAATATGTTCAAAAACATATGCATGATGTTGGGCAGAGGAAAGGACTTTTAGACTTAGGAATAACATGAATAATATGGTTTGTGAATTAGAAGAAAACACATTTTCCCAGTTGTTTAGGGCTCATGCATAATGAATGGGAATTGTTGAGTATGAAATCAATAAAATGGCAAATTATTTTTGATTTATTTTGACCCATGTTGAAATCAGGTATGTGTGGTTGTAACGCTGTTGTGTCCGCACTCAGGTCTGCAGCAGGAGGGGAAGCTGAAGCTGCGGATAGAGCCAGGTTTGTTTGAATGGACCAAGTGGGTTTCAGGAAACTCACTTCCTGCTTGGATTCCTCCGTCCGACCTGGCAGCGTCCCACTTCAGTGTGGACACAACCTACAGGTGCGGCAGACCACCAAGCAACACATTTAACACATTTAACACTGACTGAGGACCCATAACTCTTCCAAAGCTGCCTGAGATTGTTCAAATACATTTTGAACATGACCAGCAGCTGGTGGAGAAAAACAATTTGTTTTAATCTGTTTGACAATAACATTTGTACTAAAACTGGATGGTGTCAAAATAATAATTCTGCTCTGACTATAGCCCTTATCACAAAAGTGCATACATACAAGTGGCCACACTTCACTATGTAGGGCACAGAGTTTAAAGATGGTTTAAAGGTGGTTTATAGTCCAGGGAGTACAGTAATCATTATCCGTGGAGTTAAAATAGTTTTTGTACGATTGCCTCTTGTTTATTATATATTTTTCTGTTTCTATTTCTCTTTTAGACCATTGGTTCCTGTCAACAAACTCACTGTGTCTGAATCCTATGATACATACATGAGCCGCAGTTACCAAGTGACCAAAGACATCCTGTCGGACTGCAAACCCACCGGTAACTCCCCCGTTCTGGGACCAGCGTCTGAAAACAGATAAAAGTTCATTGTTTAAAATTGAAAATAGTCTTAGCTGCGTGTGCCTCTCGACAGGGAACAACGTTCTGATTGTGGCCCACGCGTCGTCCCTGGAGGCCTGCACTCGACAGCTGCAGGGCCGCAGTCTGCAGACCACCAAGGACTTCATACAAGTGGTCCGCAAGGTGGGCCCACTCATCCACTCCGCATTCACACTATGTTCAGTCTGGGAATCCCTCCATGCAACGTCACCTCAGAACACTTCAATGGGTCCGGAATTTGGGGCAATGCTCTTCCCAGAATCACAATAGAGAATTATTGAAAATGCCATAGAGTCAGTCAGGCTGGAATCTTGTAATGCCTTTACTCGTTTACTCCTTGTATGTGTAACTGTCATTTTGTAATGTAAATGTATTTCGGCTGTGTAACTTTGATGCCTCCTGAACAGGTCTCCCTTAAAAATCTCAGTCGGAGTTTTCCTAGTTAAATAAAAGTACATGTAGTAGATAGTACATACCAGGGTCTCCAACCTCTATCCCACGGAGAGCTACTTTGTCAGGACAAAAATAGCAGAGAGGGCACAAAGTGAAAAAGTTTTATGCATGAGAATAACAGTAAAGATATCGAGGAGACCATTTGAAACGTCTAAACTCTTTGGGGAGCTACATGGAAGGTGGGGGCAAACTAGATCATGTTATTTTTGTATTATTTTTTTATCTGCCTTGAATGTATTTGTGGGCACCATGTATGATAGTAATTGTGCAAATGTTTTAAATATTTGTATTTTATTTTTTTATTTCCTCTTCTTTTTTGTCAGATTCCATATTTGGGCTTCTGTTCCTGTGAGGAGCAGTCGGACGCGGGGGCGTGGCAGTTAGTGGACCCTCCCATCCTACCTCTGACTCATGGACCCAACCACACATTTGACTGGAGGGAAACACTGGCGCAGGAGTGACACAGGACAAGCACGCAAAAAAGTGACAATAATCGCTTGAATTGGGCAATATTAATCTTGATTGTAGAATATTTTGACTGTCTAATAATAAGATTCAACAATGGAACAAGCAGCAGAATCTTCATCTCAAGAACTGTAGCATTTGTTCTCATCCCAAGTGAGAAATGACTTGCCTTTTCATCACATTGTTACATTGTCAAATCTTGTTTAGAGACAATATAAATCTCTCAAATCAAGGTAAAAACCACAGAATTCAAGTACTTATGAACTCATGATGACGTTGCCGTGAACTCGCTGCCAGAGACTTCTCAATGACATTTCGCTGATGCCGCTCTTGCTTCAGAGACTGATGAAAACCATCCAGCGTCATGGCTGAGATTGAACTGGGAACGAGTGGGAACGTATGGCATCTTAAAGTCCAGTTATGTGAAATAATAAGTGATTAATTTATTTTCTTAATGATTGTACATGAAATGATGATGTAAAACCCGACAGTAAGCGCTTCCTTCTCACAGTGAAATGACTCAGGTTCAGTATTAATGGCAGTTTATGTCAAAGTGAAAGCAAAGGAAATGTTACGTTTATCATTTCCCATTGCTTTGTTAGTGTTGTCCTTCAATATCATTGCATATTAAACAGTATTTTGACACACCACAATGGTCAAGAAGAGCATAGTTACATAACATTTTGTCAATTTATTCTGCTGATAATTTTATTTGGGAGAATGCAGGTGATAGCTTTGCCCATTTTTGGGCATTTGTAAAACATATATTTAACAAATAAATGATTATGATAATATAAATATTTAATGCACTCCAATGGCAGTAAAATAATGATACACTTCATTAGAGAAAAGATCTGTATCGAATCTGTGATTTTATCTTTTCTTCCCTATACACCACTTAGCACCTTGATCATTTCCATAATTACAGAGAGATAACTTAAACACAGCCTGTAGCTTACTGCTCACAGCTGGATTCATATCCAGTTATGGAATAAATCTAACTGGTATTTAAGCATGGGCGGTCATTAACTTGATAAAGTTGTCAGTCGTCAATAGTGGTTGTCAAGAACTTTTTTTTTCTCCCTCCGTAACTGCAAAGGATGTGATATAAGTAGTAAACACATTTTAAAGTGACAAAACAAAGGCCAGATGTAACTGCACAGTTTCCATGTTAAATGTTGTAAACTCCAAATAGCAGGAAGCTGAGACTAGTAAAGGAAATGTAATTCTTTCATATCAAAGCCTCGAACCAGGCCTGATAAGTATTTTTTTATATTATCTTTTTTCAGAAATGACTTAACGCCACTTGAGCAAGTACAATTCTGTAGAATACACCCAGTGAAACAATTTTTTGATTTGTCATTTTCATTAAAAATCATGGGTAAAAAAATAAACAAGAGTATTGAGTCATTATGAATTGTCTATAGCTAAAACTACCAGTATTTGCTTTTTTATGAAAATTGCACACTATTGGAAAGAAAATGTACAGACGATAAATTTTGAGCCCTCACAATATTGTTTAATCCATCAGTTATTGAAAGATGAGTCGATGATTATTGTGTCAGGCCTCATGTTTGGTCAAATAATGCATTCAATACGACTTATTTTTATTATTTTTACCTTCATGACTTCCCGACACATGCCCACATGTAGCACAGACCACGTCTTTAGTTTGATCATCATCATATTTAAACACTGCAATATTGACAATCAGACTGTAGCGTATGATTCTGGTCAGCAGCTTCTCGATGTTTATTGTCACTTATATGTTTAGTTTTAAATATTAATAATTCTATATTTTTTGGAATTACTAAGTCTTCTTTTTTCTTTATGTATTTATTAAATGTGTAGGAGTGATATTTTTAAATGACACAGTTAATGGCATGCTATGGCTAATGCTCTGTATCTCAGGTGCTGAAAGTATGCGGGTGTACATGCTATTGTGAAACTTTATGTACAAGGGAAAAAAATATAAAATAGAAATTTTAAACGAGAATTGATTCATATTAGATATGTAGTTCATCAAATGGGTGGCAAATAAGTGACAGTCTCCATCTATCCATCCATCCATTTTCTTCCCCTTAATCCATTTCTGGGTCGGGGGGGTGGCAGTCAGCGCTGCACCCAGTATAGCACCAGCCCCTCACTGATCCTCCTGCAGGTGGTGTTTCCACAGGAGCTGAGATCTTTCAGTTGGGGCTTTAGGCAAAGAAGTGTTAAGTGTCTTGCCCAAGGACACAACAACAGCAGTCATCAGTGGGAGTCATGATGTAGGTCTTGTGGTGGGCTCAAACCCACGACCTTCAGGCCCAAAGGCCAATGCTGAGACAGTCTCCATTTGTCTAAATTCATCTGTGTTTAATAAACAACGTCCCAAATAAAATATATTTAATGGCCATTGTGTTCATTTAGTCTGTGTGAAGTTAGTAGGAAATAAAAAGCTTTGCAATTTGTGTCATGTCGTGATGAAGTAAACTTCAGTCTTGATTAAAGGGAACTTCTATGTTTCTTTCCTCAAATAACCTCAATTCCTCAATAACTTTTGGAGGTTTGAAGAATAGAATTGATGTTCTATGGGTTTCAGAGTGCTGGAAATCAACTCTGGCAAGAACAAATTCATATCAAAACTTTGTGTGTGTGCATTGTCAATCACTGCGTATCCCATGGATACTGTTTCAATAAAACATTTATATTTAATGGGAGAAAAGTCTTTGAAAAGGTGCAGACAACAGAGCGCTACAAACCAGGGAAAGACTCTCCACATACAGTATGGATTAAAAACTGATGAGAGACTTGTTTTATTAATATTGTGCATCTGTTCTCCATCAATGATATTCAAATGTAAATAAACAGCAGAAGTCTAAACACAGAGCGACTCCACAGCCAACCTCCAGGTGAGATCACAATAACCTTAGATACTGAATACTTTGCTACAATTCTACTGTACAAAGGTTATACCCACATTAACATTTGTGTCGTATAAAGTACATCATGTAACTTTACTGGGGCCCAGCACCTGCTTGTGTACTAGGAGCATTAGTGGAATAGTAAGAAATAAGTGGTCAATATTATTCATGGGGTTAAGCCAAAAATGTTTCCTGATGTATTGTTCAAGATATCTAAAGTCCCTCTTATATCAGTGTTGAGACTTATCTGTTATGTTCTGCACAACTTTGCCTCCAACAAACTCAGAATATTGGGGGTATGCCTTCCTTAAAAAATGTTCTTTAGTCCTACGTAGTGCATACTTCTGCTTCAGTCATCTTCTACCAGAAAGCGAAACACAAAAACTAATGGTGCAGATCCAAAACAGATATGTAATATATATGAATGTGAATTCCTTTGCTTAAAACTACTTGCACTCAAATATTATTGTAAAATATTCAGGCAAAATACTTTTCCTTCACTAACTTGGCTACTTTCTCTATCCCAAGGATTTTGTTAAGTACTTTTCTCTTTTGAAAATAGATTGATTTTGACTGAAGTTTTTACCTGTCTGCTTCACATATTATTCTCCCTTTAGAAAAGGTACAGTGCATAGTTCACAGTGGGAGGGTCCAAAACATTTTAATATGCAATATATATAATGTTATGCCATGTATTTAAAAATACAAATACAATCATATGGATACATTTATATCCATATGATTAACATGCCAAGAAACAATAGGAGATCCCACAGAGGTGAGAACCAGTATCTTACCAAACTTTCTCCTATTTTAACTTTTCTCTTGTTATCTTTCTATTTATCTGCTTTATATTCACCAGTTGCTGTTATTTGGCCGCATGGAGACTAGCAGGTGCCAGGATAAGTCTGAGCTGAAGTGGCCAATTGCTCCGGACGGTTACATTCCAAACTGTGATCCGAGGCAGGATCGAGGAGTTGAAAAAAGCCAAGTGGGGGCCCAACAAGTCCAGTGATGACGAGGTTGAAGGAGATGAGAATTTTTACATTTATGACCATGACAAAAACGGGAAAACTCTCAGAGCTGTCAGACGGAAAAAGAGAGATAATAAAACTTTACAATTGGACTATCGACCGGGTCAGGACTGGAGACCTGAGATTTTGGAAGAAGACCTGGAAGAAGACCAGGAAGAAGACCTGAAAGAAGACCAGGAAGAAGACCTGAAAGAAGACCAGGAAGAAGACGTGAAAGAAGACCTGAATGTGGAAACTGTACAAGAGACTGGGAAAGGTCAAGATGAAGAAAATGTTCATTTGTTTCAAGTTAAAAGAAGCAAAGATGGATGGAAGACAGTTGGGTTTGCTCATGAGAGACAGAGACCCATGGACACACTAAATCAATTAAATTGGGAAATATCAAGTGATAAAATATTTAAAAACCCAAAGGCGAGTTACCATGAGAGCGTGGTAGAAACCAAACCTGTGTCAAAAGGTGATGTTGGGTCTGATCGACGCATGGAGGGACAAAAGGAAAGGATTAAAATTTCAACAGAGGAAGAAGTTCAGAAAATGTTGGTCTATCCAATGGAGTCCAATAGAGGCATTGAGGGACAAAATGAAAAGAGTAAAATATCAACAGAGGAAGAACTTCAGAAAATCGCGGTCAGTCCAATGGGGTGACGGGTCCGAGAATTTTAAAAAGATTCCTTCATCTGAGCGACCAAACCAAAAAAGAGAAAATCAACAGTATACAAACAACACTTCAGAGATGATAAACATCCACACGTAAGTATACCGTAAATATGACTAAATATGGTGCGTTTTAAGAGACTTTACTGTGAACTATGCTCTTCATTTTGTTTAGACAAGCCTCTATTTTTAAAAGAGGACCTGCAGGTCCTGTCCCTGAGCTGAAAGAAATTAAAGATTCCACTGATGACAAACTTTCATCAAAATACAAACTCAGTGAGGCCAAAAAGCAGAAAGCAACCAGAAAAAAACAAGGTACAGTCCGATTTAATTAATCCACAAAAGATAGTGAAAAAATTTGCCAGATTGTTATAGAATTTGTTGTTGGCTATATCTTTGTATTCATCCTTTCAGATATTGCAGAGAAAATGTCTCCTTCAAAGCCTAAAGTTTTATTAATGGAAACACAGACACCAAAACAAAACATGGTTGAATCTAAGCCCCTTGCTGAAAAAAGAAATGGTAAGTTTTATAAATGATAATGTGTTGATCAGAATTTATCATTTTCTTTGTTGTATTTTCAGAATTCCGGAATCCATTGCCAAGTAAACTAATCAGAGCACCGAAACCTACCCTACAACCCCAACCAGTGGCCTCTGCCCCAAAAACTATCCCCAAGAGAGACCCCACACAGGCCCACGTGGATCTGAAGGTCCTCGGCCTTTACAAAAAGTTCAACACTGGAAAGTGGGTATCATCCAAACCTATCAATAAGCAATCCTCCACAAACCTTTATCGTTCCAGACAATCCTTCTCTGTGACAGAATATGTGGATCCAAGAGCAGAAAAGTCTTTGTATCAGCGAGGGTCTGGAGTAGAGAAAGCAAGAGGAGGCTCCTCAAGACCCCTTGGCCAAACTGGACTCTGGCAGGTCATCACTAATGGAGTATCTGAGTCAATGGACCCAGACATGCTGTGGGGGCTTCTACAAGGAAGACCTACAGACGGAAAGAATAATTCAGAGATGGAAGGTTTTGCTGAAATGATGGGCCAAGGTTCTGATGAAATTCTCTCTGAAAGATTTGGATTGAAAAAAGAGTCAATGGACAAATCAACATTTGATGGAAAAAGTATGGAGATACCATCAGACTTTCGAATCAGGTCAAATGACATGGTGGGACATAGGTATAAGGATGACAACATACAAGATATAAGTACACGCATATCCAAGGATCCAAACCATTTTAGTACATTAGATATGGAAGGGCTGTCTGCCTCAACAAATGGTTCAGACAAACTAAAAGAATTATCTTTACAAACTATACATCCAACTGCGCTGATGTCAACTGATGACAGATCTTCAGAGTCCATGGCTGGGTCAGACAGCATTGGTATGGGGGTAGCAAACACTGAAACGTCCATCCTTCAAAGGGGGAGAGGTTTAGTTCCAAATGATTTCAGTCGGCATTCAACTATTTTGCAGACAGCTGATTTGAAAAATGAATTAAACTGGTCTGCAAGAGTAAATAGACCTGGAAGCATCAAGACTATGTCCATTGGGTCCACAGTGGACAGTCGAACAGGTCAAAGACATGACACAAGATCAAGACAGTTGGGTCATTCAAGTGCTCAAAATACACATGAGTTTGATGAGTTTATGGATGAAAATTATGATGGTAGAAGACAAGGGTTTAAAGAAACTGTTCAATCTATATCCCAAAGAAAGGTTTTAGAAGATGAACACTTTCCTCCACAGCATCAGATCAACGCAAGTCCTTGGCTAAACCAATCAAAATCATATGGTGCTGCTTCATTACATGGTTCTAGGCAGACTATGGCCAAAACGGGTTATGACAGTCATGCAGAGTTGACTTATCCAGAGTTTCAAAGAAGTGGAATGAGGCTTAATGAGTCTGAAACCAGTCAGGATGTAGAGATTGAAAGAAGACGAGAAGATGGGCCTCCAATGTTTAGTCGACGTACTGAAGATCAGAGACCAACCTACGGATCATATGGACATAACATAAGTACTGTTGACAGATTAGTTCATTCCGGAACCGCTTTGGATGACAACAACCAGGTCAGATGAAGCAGGCGGTTTTCATGCCATAGCTCTGGATGGACATGAAAAGTCCCCGTCCTGTTCTGGTTTGGTAGAAGGAAGCATTGGAGGTTCATCGAAAGACAAAACTACAAAATTGAGGGAAAGTGTCCATGGATATGCACAGTCCACTGTTGGAACCATGTCTGGAGGCAAATCTCAAGAAACATTTGGTCTTCAAACAGTGAAGTCCATGGTCCACACTCCTGGCTTCCTCACAACCTCAGAACCAGAGAAGTTTCTCAAAGCACTATCCCAAAATTGTACAAAAAAAGCCAAAACAAAACCGATGAAAACATGGAGACAAGGACTTTACCAACTGATTTTCCTTTATGGTTTCTGCTCTCCTCAAACCACAAAATTGTTAGAAAGAGAGAAGTACGAGCAGGAGGAGCTTCGAAGCCCAAAACAGAAAAGTGACATAGAGTTGTACCAGTTTTCCAACCGTGTGGCTAAGAGTGTGCTCCATGAGAGATCGGTCAAGAGAGTGGCATTTCAATATAATTTGCAACATGGCAATTCCCATTACTTCCTTTGATCCCACTGCCATCAATTAATAACTTCAATACCATGGAGAAATATGGGGCAACAGAATATGGAAAGTTCCTGTTTGAATGGGAAAGGGGAGATGAGGATGACCAGGAAATGCACGTCACAGCAACACAACTGTCATTAGATTTGGAAGGCAATGAAAATAAAAATGTTTGAAACATGTTTTTGTGTCAATTACCAATTCAATCTACTTACATCAACTCCTGATTGTTCTATTGGTGTCAAATCAAAAGCATTGAAACAACATTATATATAAGCCAACTTATTTATTGTCAGTGCATTGCTCATAAGACACTCAAACAGTTAAGTATGACAAACATGAGTAAGTTTAAAGCTGGAAAAACCTATGACACAGCCCTTTTTGGGACGTTTGTGTCTATAATATAATATAATATAAACATACTGTACAATAAAACAAGTACAGTGCAAAATACAGCATAACGCTTGCAACTGTTTACAAATGATAAAATAGTAATGTATTAGATTTTACAGCAGATTTTCTTAAGGATGACATTACACCAACTAGTTTAAAAACTTTTGTACAGCGAATAAGAGTTCATAAAGGCCATTTGACTAATCGACTGCAGATCTATGAAGGCATTTCCAAAATTGCTGGGATTTTTATTAACATTCTATGGCATCTGAGGCTCAAAAAATTTGAATTATGAGGTATTATCTTAAGGCAGCTCATATAACCTAGATTTCAGTTGAATAGAATGTCTCCACTTATGATCATTATCCTGTATACTGCCATTGCTGGTAACATTGTGTGGTCTAGGATTATCTGGCGTCGTTGAGTTGTCGGGCCACTGTGAGAATCTCCTTGGCTCCTTTACTCAGCAGCAGGTTGGCTAGGTCCATCCCCAGCTTCTCCGCTCTGATTTGGGCAGGACCGGAAACATTGCCCGCCGTGATCCCCACTCTCGGTTCAAGTTCGCCTGCTTGCTCCTGGTCGTATGAAAGGTGCGTAATTAATTGATAATGGAGGGGCGTTTGTTTTCAAACTAACACAAAAGTGAAACTCACCGCCCCTGAGTTGGCAACACTCGTCTGCATGGTTTCTCTCAGTGTGTCCGAACCGTCAAGGCTAAATACTGCCCCCGTCATGTAGAGCTGGGGATTACATCAGAGCAAAACACTTAAAGCACATATACCCAACTTTTATTCATTCTTTTATTCTTGGGCCATCAGCAGAAAATAAGAAAATATTTGACCTTCTCAGATTGTAAATTATTTACAAACCGAAAGAGGTTGGCTGAAGTTTAACACTTATTTCGCCTAACCCTATTAACAAATAACAAAATTACATTTCTAACTTATAACAAATGTAACAAAATGAGCTTACAGAATTTCCAAATAAAATTTCTATGTAAGAAAATATATAATTAGTAATAATTGAATCAAACAAATATTCCTTTTTATTACAATATATACATAAACACAGAATATGACTAGGTTTTTTTCTTTCTTTTTTTTAAACCACAAAGGAACTATTTAACAAAATCCATACAACTATTTAACTTTGTTAAGCTTAAAACCGTTTGTTCATTCACTAACGTGCATTGTATAAATTGTGGTTATTATCTGTCACAACTTCAGTACAGCTTCTTCACGCAGAAAACTCCCCAAAAAAAAAGGACCAACCTCAACCCACACAGGGCTCACAGGGCTTTCTTATAGCGAACTATCTGAATGACGTCACTAAGACACGCCCCCGCCGCCTGTCAACTCCCGCCCACATGTTTCGGACAAACACTGCCAAAATGAATCAAATACCTCTTGTCACTTTAGTCGGAAATGATATACCAGGAGCAAAATTCCACCATTAAACCATCAGGGATCATAGTGTAGACCAATTAAAACGTTGGCTTGAATGTCGTGGTCTTCCAGTAACTGGTAGAAAGTTTGATTTGATAAAAAGGTAATGGTGAGGATTATGCTAACATTATCCTGTCATTTAAATTCAATGCTAGCGCCTTCTTTGTTTATTTTGCTCTGATTAACTTTCATTTATCAAGTTTTTTTTGCACTGTCCACTTTGTAATTAGTTTGATCATATAGTTAGTCTGTCAGCCGATATTATAATAGATCCATGGGGTCATAACAGGCTACACCACTACTGTCTCTGCAGAGAGAAACTATCGGAGCAAGCCACACTCAATAAACGCAAATGACAATCAATCAACACATTTAAATGTTAATGGAAGAATATATTATACATACATTTGTAACACATGTGCACAAAGGTTTTCAGTATCTGTTAAGGTTTTCATGACAAAAATACTTTTTTAATGCGACTAAACGATCGCTTTTTTGAAGTTGTTTAACCAGCCTCACTGTTACTCGCCTGCCACGGGAAAACCTTTGGGAACTATTTTCTTTGCTCTCGTTAAATAAACTTTTTGGCATTAATAAAAGTGACTGGAGTTAATTTTGTGTGTTCACTTGGTACAAAGCCGTATAATAAGCGGACCCCAACGCGCTTCGTCTGTACTTATTTTCCGATAGTCACGAAGTTGAAAAAAAGGTGTGAGAATTGTATACATTCTGGATTAGGACAAACAATACTAATATGGATTGATGGGGGTGAATGGTATAAAGAGAAAGTTTGTGCTAACTACATTCAGAAGAGCTCAGACGGACCTGATCCAGTCCCAGCTAAACGTAGCTAGGACTGGACCTGGATGCTCCACAGTTGGTCCAGCTTCACAGACGAAGTGTTTTGAACAAATATGATCCTTTTTAACATTTTCATGAGAGAAATTCTGCCGACCACAAGCACGAACCCACCTCTTGCACTTGTCCTGGTCTGGTCCTGGTCTGGTCCTGGTCTGGTCCTGGTCTGGTCCTGGTCTGGTCCTGGTCTGGTCCTGGTCTGGTCCTGGTCTGGTCCTGGTCTGGTTCGATGGTGTGGTTTAACAAACGGGTTGAATGTTACTTTCATAGTCCTTTTCAGAGTATCTGAAAATACACACGCGTATGTGGAGAACACAGTAGTACTCAACGGAGTCGTACAATGTTTGTCCGAGACATCCGCACATGTGCAGTCATCGGAGCTATTTTTAGCACATTTCGGAAACCGGACAGTGCCCTATTAACATGCAAAGTCTAATGTCCATATCAATATCACGATAGGTCTACAGGTCCAGCATGAGTGAATGATGTGATGTACATACCTGTGAATCTTGAATATCTGTGTGTACGGCAACAGGAACACTGCATCCTCCCTCCTAGAAAATAAAAAAGACATATAAAAGGGGACACAAAACTTAAACAGGGAGAGCGACAAACGTGGGTGATCATACCAGTTGTCTGAGAAAAGCCCTTTCAGCGATGCACCTCAACACCGTGTCTGGATCGTGGAGGACTGAGACCATGCCCAGAATGTCTGTGTCTCGAGCTCGGACTTCAACGGCTAAAGCCCCCTGATCAAAGAGACATCACACTATTACACAGGCTCACAACAGTCTACTGAAGAACAAACAAAGTCTTGGTCTATCTTACCTGTCCAACAGCATACATGCAGTCTTCTGTTGTAAGATGCTGCCAAAAGAGGAAAAACGAAAATATAAAATTATATTACCACAACCTTTGCATAGTGTACGTAATGTGTATCGTGTACTTAAATTTGTAACTTCAGAATCTGAACATTTGAGATCTATCAACCATTTAATGTTGTTGAGTGCTTCCTATCCATGGATTTCTGGATGATGAAACACACTATCCGGCCCACTATTGCAGGGCCTCTTCTCTACAAATTATGAAATCTTATAATCATGAAAACAGGAAAAATGGTCCTCAAAGTGTTACATGAAACTGGCAGCCCTTGATTAATCCCACAAGTTTGCTCAACTTTTCTTCATCAAATCGTTTGGCAAGAGCAATTTTTAAACAGTATTACATGATCCAAGTAAAAGCTTATTTGCTGTGCTAGTCTAATAAATAGAGAATAATAGATATGTTTGCATGTTTAGGAATTTACATAAATACATACTATTTATTTACAATCTACACAATGTGATTAGCCTGGATCAGATATGTAGGAGCTTGTACCTGACCAATTCGGTTCTCCCAGCCCATCCGCTTCAGACCGGCTGCAGCCAAAATGATGGCAGCGTAATCGTCCTTTTCGTCCAACTTTTTCAACCGAGTGTTCAAATTTCCACGCTGAGCAAAATCCGTCAAGGCTAAAATCAACACACAATAGTATAATAATAATAATAATACATCAAACTTGTATAGCGCTTTCTTGGACACTCAAAGACGCTTCACATGGGGAGTAGAATACAATAATAAAAAGGGGTTTACGGAAAAGCTTGTTTGAAAAGATAGGTTTTGAGTACAGATTTCAGTATCTTTCAAATGTTTACTTCGATCCCACTTTAATCATTTCATATAATTGAGACATATACATAATTGAAAAGGATACAATGTCTTTGAACACCAGATTGGGGAATCTTCTCTTCAACTGGGCAGCACGCCGCAATGAACTTGTGCCTATTACACTGAAAGGAGAAACCATTGCAAGATATAAACACTTTGAAAACGCACAAAAAAAGGAACCAGACTACATCACAACAATAGAAATAATAACAAAAACATTACATTATAAATTACCTGTTTTCTGGTAATATGTCAAGAGTCTTGTTAGCATGTTTTGGATGTAGCACCACAGCATCAAAAGGGTTTTCTCTCCTAAAAGAAGATGTTTTATTTATTACACAAATTATATACAGGAGGAAACTCTATGTCTGTGTAACTAGAGAACAGCTTGATTATTATTTTTTTTGTATTTCTAGATCTTTGACTGAATCGAAGCAGAAAAAAGTGTTTGAATACACATCACGTTGCGGCCAATAATGATCTACCTTTGGAGAATGTTATGCTGCATGTATTGAAATGAAAAACAGATTTGTGGTTATAGAAACTTACTTCAGCACAGCTCCGATAGTGAATCCAGGAGGCAGAGTGGTGGGGAGGTCTTTGAGTGAGTGCACCACTAGATCCACTCTGAACAGACACAAAAAAACCCAGCATCGTCCAACTCAGGTAGAACTCGATACAAAACCACTATTCACAGCCTTTCAGCGCTTCCACATCTGCTACATCAAACATGTGCATCAAAAGCCCTGCTATGTAAAGGGTCGCTAAAGGCTGCGGGGAGGAAGTAGTCTAGGCACTGGAAGGAGTTTGTATAAACGATACGCAAGAGTGCTCGAAATATGGATAGTTCCTGCTCTTTTTCATGTATAGACAGAGGCATGTTTTAAATGACGGACAATCCCCATGAGCCTGTTGTACTTCTGACAGATTATGATCAAGATTATTACACACATAACAAAACATGTAGGAAAGGGATAATGAATAACTACATTTCAAAACTGCCTTGGACTGGATGGCAACTTTACTTGAAGCTAGGAGATCTAAGATTTCTTTTCATGAATAATAAATGCTCTAAGTCCCTACAGTTCGTACAGAAAAAGTTGGACCATCTTATGCTGGCTTTTACATACTTGTAAGAGCCCTATGAGGCACTATTTCACTAATGTTTCTGTCTGAAAAAGCGGATCTAAAGATGTGACAGATGCCAACCACACATGCAACTAGTGATAGTAAAAAAACTATTCTGGAGCCAGGAGATGGTTTCTGTTTTTTTTGTGATTTGAAGGTTCGGTACCCCGGCTCTTATCAGGTAAAATATGCCACACATTTGGAGAGCTTCTGTAAAATACTAGAATTCAAGATAATAATCACTGGGTCACTCCTGGCTTACACATTTATATTGCTGCTCACTATTGAATGAACAAAACATTTGGAGAAGGTAATTGATGTTTTTACTAACTTTTCTGCATAATCTTCCATGTGACAAATGACAATACATTCAGATGCAGAACATTTATGCAGGTTTGAACTTTTAAAATGCTTTCTTTGAGTTGTGTGAAAGCAGGAAGCATCTTGGGGGGGACAGAGCAAAGCGTTCTGTTTGGATTGAGACAATGCAGTGTCAGCCGCAGATGACACCAGAAACACTCACTCATTTCTTTCCAGGGCGTTTTCCAGCTCTTTGGTGAAAAGGCTTTTCTCACCGATCTGAAAAGGAAAAGCGACAAGAGTCAAGAGGGAATATGAGACAAAACAAACGCTCTGCTGATCTGATGCCGCCTCACCTTTGATAAAGCTCTGTCCAGGATTATGTCTCCAGTTGTGGACATACCAACTGAGAAGAATCAGAAATAGAATCTTTAAGCTTTAAATACAGACTATAGATTTAACCACAGTATTGACACAAAGGTGACCACACATTATAGATGCATGTGTTGGGTTAAGGCGTTAATAAAACCTCACAATATTGAATTGAGTGCAAAATTTTCTCTTATCTTTGTTTCACAAATACATGCCCTTATGTGTTATGGAGAAAAAGGCTGACCATTTAGAAATGTATCTTGTTATTCAAGACAAGTCTAACTCCATCTAATCTGATAAAAACTTTTAAAACAAATTGCAAATGATTGTTGTAAATTTAAGTTTTGGGAGAAGAGTTTGGATCAGATTTTTAGAGCATTTACTACACCCCCTTTTTAGTCGACAAGCTAATGTCTTTAGTCGACTAAGAGTTTCCACTTGCCATTAAAATAATGACTTGCCCAAGACAACAATACAGTAAAGTAGCAAAGTCACTTTTTTTTGTTGCACCAATTTTTACCGCGGTTCAGATATTTTATAGACAGAACAGAATTTTTTTTAGAAATTCAGTGAACACATAAACAGATTCCTCAAATGAAAACGACAGTGGCTCAGTTGGTAGAGCAGTGGCCTTGAGCCTGAAGGTCGTGGGTTCGAGCCCACCACAAGACTTTCTCCACCGACTCCCACTGATGTCTGCTGTCGTTGTGTCCTTGGCAAGTCACTTAACCCCTGGAAACACCAGGTGCCACAGTGGGGCGGCTGCGGCTGTAAAGTGCCAAACTGTCGTTGTGTCCTTAGGCAAGACACTTTACCCCCATTGCCTAGAATGAGTCTGGTGTGTCTGTGAATGGTTGGTGGTGGTCGGAGGGGCCGATGGCACATACTGGTTGCCTCGCTTCTGTCAGTCTGCCCCAGGGCAGCTGAGGCTACAGCAGTAATTTATCACCACCATGTATGGAGTGAAAGAATAATGACATGTAAAGCGTCTTTGAGTGTCCAGAAAAAGCGCTATATAAAACTGATGCATTATTATTATTATTATAAAACATCGTCTGCCCAGTTCTTAATAATCTGATCCCCTCCTTGTGTGACTTGGGTACGTCATGTGGTTAATCAATTTAACATATCAAATGTCCATTCTAATAATTATCTAAATAACTAATAATCGAAGTAGAAATAAAACAAAAGTGTGTGGTTTGTGGTTTATTAATGAGGGTGAACTAAAGTGAAATGATGAATAAATGACAACTCGGGAAAGAGTTGAATGAATGAATGGATGTATGCAATCAGCTCTTACTTATTTCCAGTTGGAGGTCAGGATACAGTTCTTTCAACTTCTCTGCTACACTGTCAGTCTGAATACAAGCCAACTGGAAGAAAAAAAGACAAAAACATGTTTAATGCTCAGATAGCTTAGAAAAGGATAAGATAAAGATAATGCAGTGGCAACTGTCTTAGTATTTATTTGAATGCCCTCAGCCAGACAATTAAAATAATTAAAACATGAATTGAAAAGATTAGAAATACCTGGCTTTTGCGAGTTCCTATCCGAATCACTCGAACAGCTTTGCCGTTCCCATCCTGAAAAGACATAATGATACAAGGTCCAAACATAAGTTCATAAGCAGTTATGTTCCTCCCGCTAATCTCACCATTGTGTACTTGTAAAGTCCGTTCTCCATAGTAAAAGTATAGGATAAATAGTGGCGGCTATTGTACTGCCTGAAACGGTCTGCAGTGTCCCAGTAAGAAGACAGACTGAGGTCATACAGCCTTAAGAAACGGAACACTTGGCTCTTTCTCTCCTCCTCCCAACAGGACCCCCACCCCAACACATCTCTGCCCCCTAAAGATAAGTGTCCCAATTCAGTGCGTCCGTTGTAAAAGGCAGGGAGGGGTAGCTAAAGGAGGGAGAGTCCAAAAAGGTGTGGTCATCCAGTAGTATAATTCCTCAGTACATGTCATTAAACAGTGGTCAGAGTAGGGCTGGACTATATGGCAAAAAAGTAAAATCTCAATTTTATTTCCTGCTTTGGACGATTTCGATTTTAAATCGATTTTCATTAAAGTCACTGAAGACAGACTTTGCCCTTAAAAATATTTTTTGATCTTTCAGATTAATTTATTTGCCATTCGTGGTAAAACCACATTGGAACATTTTTGCAAAAGTCCCCAGTGTGCACAAGACAAGTACATAAATAAAACAGATTAAAAAAACTTAAAACAGGAAACGATTGACACTGTGAAATCGATCGACTACAGTTTCAATACCAGTTCAAGATCATTAAAGTGCTCTGTTCAAGCAGCTTGTGGGAAGAAGCTGTTAGCATGTTAGCATATGGAGAGGTACTGCATCTCAGAGAACGATATCTTCTGCCAGATGGAAGAAGCTGGAACATGGCTTTTCCAAGGTGGCCAGAAGAGTCACCTATTATTCTAAGTGCTTTCTGCTCAATATTCAAGTTTCAAAACTGTTTTTAATTTGTTTCTCCCAATACACATTATAAAAGTCTTGTACAGACTCTAGTGATATTAAGTATAATTCATGTGCTGCTGGAACTCTCACAATATCCTTTAATCAATTTCACGATTGCCTAAATTCGATTTATTGCCCAGCCCTAGGTCACAAATACATTTTAGCTCCTCACTATATTTGATACAGAGACATGTCATATATATATATATTTTTTTTAATCTAAATTTATAAACATGGACAAACTAATATCAAAGTACACAAATAGGGATATTTTTGTATGAAGGGAGTAAGGGCAAAAACTATTTTGGTGGCTTGTGGTTTAGTCTTAGGGATGACAAAGTTTCACAGTTTAATAGGCCAAATTAATCTCATAGTAATATAAAGATTATAGCAGCCATCTATAATTAAATCTACATTGTATTACATTGGCAATATCTATAGACAACAAACCACCTTCTTCCAAAATCTGAAATCATTCCAAGCAGTCCCTAAGTGCTGGTCTTTTGTTCCTTTTACCTCAAGGAAACACTGGTGTAGAATACTTAAATGCAGTTAACCTGATGGGGTTTTTTAATAACAACATTTTCTTTAAGTTGCACGTCAGAACAAATAACCAAATTAAATTATTTTAGTACAGCAAAAAAATCACAGCAGTCGTTTCAAATGCCACATAATTGTTGGTGGTTCAGGCCTATGCACAATAGAATACATATCTTGTTACTGATATCCTTAAAAGTTATCTAATGCTTTTATTTCAGTACTCACTTGACCTTTATAAAGAGTGTCTTTTTACCAATAAGATAATAAGTCTTTTGATTCATTAACTGTGACTTTGAGTGACGTTAGCCCAAATCCATTGTAAAACAATGCTAGGCAAGATTGTATGCTAAAACTATCTGAACGTAATCACTAATTTCCAGATAATTGTGAAAACAGAAGAGGCATCTCAAGCTTCAAAATGATCTGACAACTCGCACCATGTTTTGTGATTCTAACACGCGCTACTACGAGGAAAACTACAGTTTATAGATGGGGGAGACTTTCCTCCTGTGTGTAATCATACAGTCTACTGTGAGCTATACGTCCCGCCTCTCTGTCAGTATAAACCAATGAAAAGCAAGAGTCTGCCAAAGAAACGTGAAGCTGACCAATCACAAGGCTGTATTTCCCAGAGCCCGGAAATGGCTACCGTCCTCCACTGAACATTTAGCGTGCCTTTTCGGCATGGTGCAAAGGTGGTTTATAAATAAGTACACTTACTGCAGATGCAGCTTCCTCCGACATGACGCTAAACTAATATCGGGGTCAATGTTGTGTAGTCGATTTATGGATAATATCTTGCGCAGAAATCTTAAAAAACACAATTTCTCCCTGATTGTAGCGACAGTGACACCCAACGACCGCAGACAGCTCCGCTATGAATGAACCAAACACGGAACTGCGCTGCTCTGGAGAGAGGTCATTTCCTACTTCCGACAACTGTTCACTTGACTTTAGTTTAGGGAAAGAAGTTTGGACATAGGTCGGTATAGACCAGACAATCATATTACAGTTGGGATTAAGTTGAGATACAGAAGTTCTTTTCTGTTGGACGTAATACGGGGAGCTATTTGATTAGAAAGCTGTATCTGTAAAGGCTGCAACAGCTCGTGTTCTTCTAATGTCCAAGTTATATCTGAAGACAAAAACAGAATAAAGCTCGGGTTCCTAACTCTATTTTTATTTTCCAATGATTACTTTTTGTATACAAAAAGTCTTGTTAACGTAAAAGTGTGTGAACAAATCAGATCACAATATGCTGTCTTAATTTTTCATAGTTGCAAGATAAACGTTTAGAATAACTACTTAATGCTTTGGGTTGAGAGAAAATTGTCCTTTCTTTTTCACTTTTCAGTCTAAAAAGGCTTGTCTTATTATGAAAACAGAGGCCACTATTCTTGAATGGGAAAAGTGGCAATAAACTTTTTTGAGAAGATCAACCCCAGGCCGAAAGGGAGGGGAATTTATAATCACATTATAGGTTTATACCATGTTTATACAGCCTATGTGCATTCATCATCATCATCATCACCAAACGTCCCAGATTTGAAAAAACAAATATACACTTCACTCCTCAGGGCAAAGAGTGTATTCCTTATGAATCTGTTGGGAAGTATTTTCGGTCTGTGAAAACGTACATATTTTAATTAGACAATAGATAAATCATCAACAATCTTGTAAAGTCAATGATGAGAAGTAGTTATAGTACTCCAGTAAGTATGCTTTGGTTTTAACTCATATTTGTGTCCATCTCTGTAAACCATAGACTGTAAATATGAACTTTATGCAACAAAAACAGAGCCAACACTTTGGCCCACGTCACTGCTTTTTACGGAGATGCAGCGCACTTCCGGTGGAGACGTGGCTCTGTGCTGCTGCCATATTGACGCCGTGAAGCTACAACCAACAACTTCTACATCTGTGCCTCCTCCTGCGAGCTAAAACCACCGCAGCGGGACACACGGAGAACGGACCACTGTGATCCAGTAGAAAGAGACCAAAATGGTGAGTGACAATCAATTATAGAGTGTTTTCAGAGCAGTAAGTCATGACAACATGTAAGCTACCGCTAGTTAGCTTCTCCATACGCGACCTTATCAGCAACATATTTGGACAATTTGTTTTCTTATTGTCAGATTTGTTTATATAGTGTATCTAGTGATATATATTGAACGTGTTGTGTTATATCACTGAAACGCAGGAGCTGGATGTGCAGACTGCTGACGTTTACTTGAGTAGCAGCGATGCTAGCTCTGGCTTTAGCTCACGTTACTAGCTCAATCCGACAGTTTTACCTGCTGATAATTGACTGTTGTCAGAACAAAACACCAACTCTAGGTCATCTTTGTTCCTAGCTCTTAATAGTGTCATGGCATTACAATTATAAACTATGGTGAAAATTGTAGTTTTGTGTCACTTATATTTCACATTCATTGTAGCTAATTCATTACTTTATCCACTTCTTACTATTTAATCACAGTCGGAACAATTGTCTTGTTTCTATGTACTTGCAGGCACATGTTATTACAGCTCTGTTACAAGATGATCTGTTACATGCGCTCTGTGTTATGTGCTCATTTCACAATTTTTGCAAAATGTCATGACAATACTATATGCTCTTTCTAGTTGATCATACGCTGTGTTAATGCTATACTATGTTTTATCTGGTGTCAAAATTGGGATAGTCAATAATTATTTTTTGGTCTGAAGGCAAACCAATATAAATGAAACCCAGCAGTGACAGCCTCCCAGATAAATGATCAATTACTACTATTGTACTTGTTTTTAGTATGTTGATATGATAATGGGTTGTTCAAGTTTAAAATAAAACAATCTCAAATTCAATTTGTGAACTCATTTGTTACATTGTGGTATTATTTTCCCTGTCTACAGGTGCTGTTGGCAGCGGCGGTGTGCACCAAGGCCGGTAAGGCCATTGTCTCTCGTCAGTTTGTGGAAATGACCCGGACTCGTATCGAAGGCCTCCTGGCGGCTTTCCCCAAACTCATGAACACAGGGAAGCAGCACACGTTTGTGGAGACAGACAGTGTGCGCTATGTGTACCAGCCGCTGGAGAAGCTCTACATGGTGCTCATCACAACCAAAAACAGCAACATTCTGGAGGACCTGGAGACGCTCAGACTCTTCTCTCGTGTGGTATATGGTCTCAATTCTTAATATTCAAAGTTATGAGGATCATCATCTTGAGAATATCTGCCTTTTCACCCACTGGAGTAACCAAATGGGGCCTTAAATTATGTCTATCTGAATTGCAGATCCCAGAGTACTGTCGAGTGCTGGAGGAAGCAGAAATATCGGAGCACTGTTTTGACCTGATCTTTGCCTTTGACGAAATTGTGGCTCTTGGATACAGAGAAAATGTAAACCTGGCACAGATCCGCACTTTCACAGAGATGGACTCTCACGAAGAGAAAGTTTTCCGTGCTGTCAGAGAGGTAATCTTTAACAATATTGATTTTGATTTTGTTTTGTGAAACTCATGCGATTAAGGCATTATTTCAAAGGGTGTTTTATTCACTGTATGTATGTTCCATATTTCAAATGTTTAAAAAAAAAAACTGTAACAATGGACTATCTGTCTCTTTTAACAAACGTATTATTGCTCTGTGTTCAACAGACTCAAGAACGGGAGGCAAAGGCAGAGATGAGGAGAAAGGCCAAAGAGTTGCAGCAGGCCAGACGAGATGCCGAGCGCTCGGGGAAGAAGGCCCCAGGTTTTGGTGGTTTTGGCAGCGGTGGAATGACCAGCGTCTCTTCAGGGTCCATCATCACAGACACAATTGTCGAACCAGAGAAGCCCAAAATCACACCTGCTCCTGCCAGGTAACAACACTATCTGACATAATTCTAGGACCACCTGCCACACAGAACTATAATTATTAACATTATTAGTTAAGCTTTTACACCGTTTTTAAAATGACTTCCACTTTTAGAAGAACTGCCCAACTTGCACATCCTGTCTAATGAAAAATATTACAAAATGCAGCACATGACAGATAGAGCTATACTTTCTTATAACTGGAACATTTTAGCTATTAACTTGATCAAAAAAGCATATTGGATATGGTGTTTCATTTTTCTTTGCTTGTGGCCAAAATGTAAAATGGTTTGTGGAAACTAGGAGCTGCATTTTTAAAAGGCATTCTTTATACAATAAATAAATACAGATTTCATAGAATGTGTTTGTCTGCAATATATATGGATTATGTACAATGTGAGGTTTATGTTGTTTTGTAATTTTCCTCACAGACCAAGTGGACCAAGCAAAGCTCTTAAACTGGGTGCTAAAGGGAAAGAAGTTGACAACTTTGTGGACAAACTCAAATCTGAGGGTGAAACCATCATGCCCTCTTCAGGAAAGAGAGGCTCAGACGCGTCCAAAGTCCTGCCCCCACCAATCAATGTAGAGAGGTACAAGATTCATATTCTGGGGTTTTCATACATAAAGGAATATCCAGCTTGTGACTGGAGATAGACTTCCAGTATTAAAAGTATGATGTAATAAACCAGAAAGACGCTATTGACATATCCAACTAAAACATGGCTTGAGTAATGTGCTTGTTCCTCTAGTGTACATCTGCGAGTGGAGGAGAAGATCTCTTTGACTTGTGGTCGTGACGGAGGCCTTCAGAACATGGAGGTCCTGGGAATGGTCACACTTAGAGTCACAGATGAGAAGAATGGACGCATTCGCCTAATTATCAACAACAACGACGGAAAAGGACTGCAGCTGCAAGTAAGTCCAGCACTCTAGCACTTGGGAGTAGTCTGTTGTCAACAGTCTTCAAAATATTAAAGGATGTGCTACTATGTTTCTATTCACCCGTTATTACAAAGCATTGTTAAATCCTAATAAGAATAAAATAATGTCACGGGCAACCATGCAATACAAGATTTTGAATATTGAAAATGGTTACATTTCATTTATAACTTTTAATTTTCAGACACATCCTAATGTGGACAAGAAGCTGTTCACTGCTGAGTCAGTGATTGCGCTGAAAAACCCTGAGAAGTCTTTTCCACTTAGCAATGACGTGGGAGTTCTTAAGTGGAGGCTACAGACCACAGACGAGGCTCTCATACCTTTAACCAGTGAGTATCCCTGAGCTCATTATAATGTTTGTATTTTTGGTAAAATTCTTGTATGTAACCGTTATCTGTGCTCAGTAAACTGCTGGCCTTCAGAGAGCGGCACTGGCTGCGACGTCAACATTGAGTATGAGCTACAAGAAGACAGCCTGGAGCTAAACGATGTGGTCATCAGCATCCCTGTACCGTGAGTAGCTTCTTCCCTTGTATTAACATAAGACATTGTTTCTTGATTGGGGATTTTTGTTCAGGCCAAATAAATATTTCTACACCTTTTTTATGTAAATGTTTTGCATTTATCAATTGTGATTTTTTTTTTGTATTGTAAAATAAGACACTTCTCAGGTGTCATATGTTACAACAGATGAACAATAATAATAATAAATGCATTGAGCAGTGCACGTGGAATTCACACTGAAAGTGATATGATTTTGGTCCATGATTATAAACTCAGTGTTTCATATTTAGGCCGAGCCAATACGAAGTATTGGGGAGGCCTATTGTTATTCACCGGTTTCATATTATTCTTTTTTTTCCGCATCTTCAATTCGATTTTTGACCCTGAAGACATGCACGAAAGTCTGCACATGGGGGGTCTAAAACGACCGGTTCGGCGAAAAATTTGATAAAATGAACGTTTCCAGATTGTCCGACGCTCGCCGACTCTATAACGCCCCCTAGAAATTTAATTTTTTTGGACCCTCTGGGGATTTTTTTTCAAATTTTTGAGTAGGTATACGAAATTCGGCTGAGTGATAGATCTCTATGAGACGAGCATAAAAGCCGGTCTAAGCACATGTCTGGGACCGACAGGAAGTCGGCCATGAGGGGCCGAAGTTTCGCCACTAATTTGACTTTTCATTTACAAATTCGAACTAGTCCCTGGTTTTTCATCACACAGAGTTCTACCACGTCATTTCCCAATCTGGACGGATTGAAGTTATATAATCATCGAAAAAAAGTTAGAAAATCTTCACCGTTTTCGTCCCTCGCCATGGCGAATAAGGCCTTCGTTTTGGCCATTTTCGCTGAGCCCTGATGGCCACAGGCTCAGACCTACAGAGCTGAGACTCACATCAGTAATATTAGGTTATGGCCTGAACGCAATGACACTAAAATCATTCGCCCAATTTGAGCTCTTTAGCGCCACCTGTCGGAAAGTAATAGGGCACTAGTGCTCGGATCGGCCCGAAAATCGCTGAGTGTATTTTCTGGACCGAGACGAGCAAAACATTACATTACGAAAAAGTTGTACGTCCCACACCTGACCACTGGGGGCGCCCTAAAGTGAATAAATGAGCTTTTTAGGGCAAAATCTTTGTCCGATGAGGCTAAAAATGAATTCAGAAATACAGCGTATGACCCTGAACACAACGATATGCAACACACAACTGTGAGTGCAACAGCGCCACCTACAGGCAGTTCAATGTGTCTCATTTTTGGCTTCGTACTAGTCCCTGGATTTTCATCGCACAGACTTCTACCATGTCATTTCTCCATCTGGACGGATTGAAGTTATGCAATCATCGCATAAAGGTTAGAATTTTGTTATCGTTTTCATGCGAGGTAGCGGGGAATTTCTCCATGTTTGATGCTCTCCTGACCACAGGCTCAGACCTACAGAGCTAAAACTCACATCGCTAACAGTTGGTAATGGCCTGAGAGTAATGGTGTGAAAACACACACCTAATATGACTCTACAGCGCCACCTATGGAAGGCTTCTGACCTAAACTTTTCCGATCTTCACCAAAGTTGCAAAATCAAATCTTTACATCTGCACGAGCAAAATACTACTCTACGTAGAGGGTGCATGTCCCGGAGGTGACCACTAGGGACGCACTTTATCATATAAATGAGCTTTTATATACGTAATCCTGGTCAGATCGGGCTGCCAATTCGTCGGCGTGACGCTTGTGGGACCGGCGCCCAGGAGGCGGTCGCAAGAGGGGCGAGGCCTTTCATCGCCGCTTGCGGCTTTAATTTATATTGCGTACTAAATAGAAGCCAAGTTGATCCTTCTGACCCAATTACATATAGTTGTCCTTGTATCTCTTCAGTACCTTTTTTATTTTGTATTATTTTTTTAATGTTTTGTTGCCTAGATTGCCTTCTTAGAGCCTTTCTTCTCTACTGCTGAATATTGTGGCTTTTACACTCTGATCAGTTAGCCACCTCTGTTATAGGAAATATAATTTGAAAGAATTTCAGTATATATTGTATGGATTTCAATCACCATAACATTTGTAAAGCTCAATTCCAGACACCTTTTTATTTTCTCAACCTGTTTACTGAGCAGAATTCTGGAATAGTCAAAAACAAAGTAAAAGTTGAGCTGTTCGTAGCCACAGCTTTGTCCCTTTGACTCGATACAGGCCCTGAAACGCAACCCAATAGCTTTTTTTACAGCAAAAAGGGTTTAGTCTTAAAAAAAAAAACTAAATGGGCATTCTATCTAGATGCATTTGTTATTATATATTGTATTATAATTGTTTTTTTAATTTTAAAATTATTATGAATGAATAATAGAACTACTAGTTGTCAGATACGGAAATTATAATTAGTGACGGCCCTAAGTGAGATATATATTTGCTGTGCGCAGGTCGGGTGTGGGGGCCCCAGTCATCGGGGACCTGGACGGAGAGTACAAACACGACAGCCGGCGAAACATGCTGGAATGGTGCCTCCCGGTGATCGACGTCAACAACAAGAGCGGCAGCCTGGAGTTCAGCATCGCAGGGCAGCCCAACGACTTCTTCCCCATCAACGTGTCCTTTGTGTCCAAGCGTAACTACTGCGACATCCAGGTCAGGCGCCTTTCATGTCATTACTGTCATTACCGTATCTCCCACTGACATAGAATGAGTGGAACTTCATTCAATTGCTCATTATTTACAACAACTTTGAGTTAAAGTGCCCTAGGATCGAGGGAAACAAGATGTGATTTTTCTCAATTTGACCATATTTTCATGGTTGAAAATAATAAGAAATGGTTATTCTCACTTAAAGTAGCACTATGTAAGATTTTTATTTCAAGTCATCAGTAAATGGCCCTAATACGTCAAAAGGCATTAACATAGATAACAGTAGTTCAGCCGAGATGTCCCGGCCTCCACTGTTTTACCAATCAAAAAGTCAGTGATCCGGGTTGCCAGAACTCACAGCATATCTGGCAACCTGAGTAAGGGAGAGTGGGAGAGGTTGCAGTACCACCTTTCGCCAGATTTTTGCATACTGATTTTAAAGGAGCACCTTTAAAATCCCTCTGTAACCAAGTTGGACAAGACTGGACTTGTTTTTTTCCATTGGCAGATAATTAAAAGCATAACAACCCTATTTAAAATCGTTTTGCCGTAATCCTTTACCTGTTTTAGAGCTGTAAACAGAGATGGCCAGATTGTTATAATATTATGCAACTTGAGAATTTGTTATATGTAATATAAATAATAGCAGTCTTTACGATTTACTAATTGCGGCCGCTAAAATTGCGATTTCAATTTTGATTGGCATTAATCAGTCCTAGTCAACAAATGTGTGTGTAAACCAGCTTTTTTTTTTTTTACAGATTTGTCCTTCAAATGTGTGACCTGTTGTGTTTGGCGTAGTGGAATTTATCCTTTGAATTGTTTCTTGTTTAATGCAGAAGTTAACAATTGAGAATATTGTCTTGAGAAATGGTTCCTAAACAAAAGACTCAATCTGAACTTTACAATCTGCTACGTTCCTGTGTTTTGTGCATTTTCAGGCAATATTTTTTGTAGTAGTAAAATCTCATCTGTGTTTTACAGGTCAACAAAGTGGCCCAAGTAGACGACGACAGCCCCGTCAGATTCTCGTCCGAAACCTCCTTCGTGGTCGACAAATACGAAATCCTGTAAAAATCACACCAACAGAAAAAACGACACAAACGGTAATAGCGGAAAACAAAGATCTGCGACATGGCGTCTAAAGAGGGAAGATTGCAGAACACCCGCCTGACCTCCCTGTATCGACACCACAGACTGTAACTACGGGAGCAGCGCAGCGGTGGTCTATTTATGTATGTATAAGAGAGGATCTGCTATACATAGATAAAAACCGACGCGAAATTTAAAACTACTACGATGCTGTTGTTTTCACTGAGCAGGACTTTAAACTCGGATCTTTTACAGTAAGTAGGGGATGACTGGCCCAAATTCAACCACCGACGAACCAGGAGGATACACAGCGCCCCCTGAAGGCTGGCCCAACTCATTGCAAGTGTCTGCTAAAAATGAGTTAGGCTAATTTCAACCTCCCATGGACCATGTACCAATTTCACACACTCGCTTCTGAACGGTTTTTCCACTGTTTTGTTTTATTCTGCATAAAGTTGGCAAATCTATAGCCTTGTTAATCATCATAGCTTCTGATTTTTTCATTATCTCACCAAAACACACACGAGGGCAATTGCACCATTTTATTTATAAACCCTGTCTTGGCGGACCGAGAAATGGCTCAAAGGAACTATTTTCTTGTACCCTACAGCATCTAATGAGTCCATTCTTATCCAAATCGAGGGAAAATGATGGTTGACATGTACAAAACACATCCCAAACTGAGCTTGCGTTGTAATCCTTGGAAGAATATAAGACTATTCATATTATGTTCAGTCTACAGTTGTGTTTTTATATTTGGCTTTATTTCCACCGTAATCCGTCATTTGTCACCTCCAATCACCTGTAATTTTTTTTTTTTTTTCTAGGGTAAAACTATTGCGCTTTTAGAGGCCGAATGGGACTATTGCTTTAGTGAGTTTTCTGTATGTGCGATGGCGTAACCTGATTCCTACCACCCCTCATTTGTCTAATCGTTTGTAATGGACTACAGTTTATTTTACTGTACTTCAAACAGTATTTACATTAAGCCCGGAATCAACACCCAGCCTCTTAATCTGGCGTCCCATAAGGTATTAAAAATGTGAGTTGATTTGGGGAGAAGTTTAGCCGCTGATTTCGTTCGCACACCCAGTCATCCTTTACTTACTTTAGCATGATTCAGACTCCTACTTTTGTCTTTTTATGTTTTTGTTTTTCATTTCTACTTCTCTCCAGGGTCACTTTAGTCATGGTTTTGTGGATGTGGGATGATCATGACTAGATTGATCATTTTAATTGAAGTACTGAAGGGGAATCCTAACATTCCAGTGTACAATTAGAGAAGACTCTTTATGGAATAAAATAAAATGTATTATTGACAAAAAAATGATTGTCTGATCTCTGGTCTCAAATCTTTACACTATGTAAATTTTTTATGGTAAATAATAGTAAGTGGCCATCTTTCATTAGCCTTTAAACACTAGTCTCTGCTTATTTTTCACATTCTTTTGAAATCTGAAGCCAGAAGCAACTCCTTCTACCAACGCACTCAACGGTAGCTATCACGGAGGAAAAAACAAATATTTGGCTTTCAAGTACCTCTCAGGACTTGACAAAGACTGGACCGGATCCTAGGTAGACTTGAATAGAGATGGGCCACTTTGATAAACGAGGTCAGATAGTTCACTTCTTTAAAACTACTCTTTGTATATGTAACTTTGCTGTTCTTAGATTCGGGGAGAGACCAATTGATCAGCTGCCAACAGTCCTGGAAGTCTTTGTTGATAATTAGGTTGGTTTATTTATTCTATTAATAATGAATTAAAAAGGACATTATTAAAGCTGGGATACTTGATTTTGCTTTTGCATAAATAATACATATCTAAAAAATTTAATTAACAAATCAGATCACAACAGGCTGTCTTTATCTCATTAGAATGAAATAACAATAATTCCTTTTTTTGGAGATATAGGACAACAGTAGATGGGAAATGCATTGACATGAATTGTTTTTGTTTTTCAGAATGTTTGTTTACTTACGTGTGCTTTTTATCCAGTTAGTTTCATTTTGTCTTTTTTCAGCAAAAGACATGGTTTTTGTTTGGATTATTGAAACCATCCAATGTCATGTAAGTCCAATGTGGGGGTAAGAGCCAGATATTTCTTTTGCAATAATAACAATATTACTTCAATCCACACTCATCTTTATTAAAAATGATATTGAGAATGTTGTGATGTCATCAAAACCCAGCAGGAGTTAAAACATGATACCAAAGTCCCTACACAAGAGATTGTAGATTGTATATAAATGACTATTATTGTAACTGTCAGGCGTTAATGAAAGACTCCCTATCAACTGCCCATTGGTCTGGACTCTGCATAAGACTGTGGATAGTGGGGGTCTTCGTGTCCTCTGAAAGATATAAAAAGACATTATCTGGGGGAGTATTGAAATACAAATTCAATCTCCACTAGGTGTAACGGGAAAAGGGCCAGGGCAATATGGTCAGTAAAAAATATTGTAAATGAGTGATAAGGTGAGGGCCAAAGAATACAGGCCACTTTCTCAAATGAGCATGATCCGGAATGCTCCAGACCTCAGGGAGGTGAGGTGCGTGCTGCCCATGTACAGCCATGTCCGTGTATCACCATTGACCTATGTCGTATTCACAGCTTTGTTTCAGGCATAGTACACTCTGAAATGAGTTGATTCAAATCCACTGTACTGGTCAAACGATGACTGTAGATGGGCGCTTGAGCAGCCAGACGTCCGGCTGCGGAAGAGTTTAGATGATGCCCCCTGGTGACTCATGGTCCAGGGGCCTCTTCAGTGTGGGACCAGGCTTTATGTGTTTGTGTTCGCTGTGCAAGGGTCAGAGGTCAAACAAGCAATTCTCACACGTCAAAACAAACTCTGTCTCGTCGTTTTAATGCATTTAGAAGACAACGTTCCCTTAACATCATCCTCAGCAAAGACAGATTACCCACTAAAGTTCAAAAGAATTTGTAAGTTCTTAAATAACTTCACCTTCATATCCAAGGCTGGTCTCTTCACCCCTAACATCTGAACCTGGGGGTCCTCATTGTGCTGAGGACCTCTGCGTCACATGAAGAACATATATCTGCAAGGACATTATTGATTGACTGCGGAACCTTCCGCAGTCAACCATTGGTTTTGTATTTCTTTATTCCGTCATTTTTTTTGACACGTTTCACAGCTTTCACATTTTCAACAATTTCCACAAGTTATACATCAAAACGTTCCACATGTTTGGGAGATTATTGCTATTACTTTTGGGACTTCAGCGATTTCCGGTTTTTCCGCAATCGGACAAAAATCTGCATTGAGAATTCTGCAATGCATTTTAATAGGCCCATGCATTTTAATAGGACTTCAGCTCTTTCAGACATTTCTACAGTTTCAATGATTCAACAGTTTCAAGGATTCAACAGTTTCAAGGATTTCAGCAGTTTCAAGGATTTCAAGTTTCAAGATTTCAAGAGTTTCAAGGACTTCAACAGTTTCAAGGACTTCAGCAGTTTCAAGGACTTCAGCAGTTTCAAGGACTTCAGTGTAATCAGCAACCTAATAGGGATTTTTCCAATGTAAACCAGTATAATGCAACTTAATAGGGATTTTTCCATGTAAACCAGTATAATGCAACTTAATAGGGATTTTTCATGTAAACCAGTATAATGCAACTTAATAGGGGGACATGTAAACCAGTATAATGCAACTTAATAGGGTTTTTTTCATGTAAACCAGTATAATGCAACTAATAGGGATTTTTCCATGTAAACCAGTATAATGCAACTTAATAGGGATTTTTCCATGTAAACCAGTATAATGCAACTTAATAGGGATTTTTCCATGTAAACCAGTATAATGCAACTTAATAGGGTTTTTTTCATGTAAACCAGTATAATGCCACTTAATAGGGTTTTTTTCATGTAAACCAGTATAATGCAACTTAATGGGGATTTTTCCTTGTAAACCAGTATAATGCAACTTAATAGGGGTTTTTACATGTAAACCAGTATAATGCAACTTAATAGGGTTTTTTCCATGTAAACCAGTATAATGGAACTTAATAGGGATTTTTCCATGTAAACCAGTATAATGCAACTTAATAGGGATTTTTCCATGTAAACCAGTATAATGCAACTTAATAGGGATTTTTCCATGTAAACCAGTATAATGCAACTTAATAGGGTTTTTTTCATGTAAACCAGTATAATGCCACTTAATAGGGTTTTTTTCATGTAAACCAGTATAATGCAACTTAATAGGGATTTTTCCATGTAAACCAGTATAATGCAACTTAATAGGGATTTTTCCATGTAAACCAGTATAATGCAACTTAATAGGGATTTTTCCATGTAAACCAGTATAATGCAACTTAATAGGGTTTTTTTCATGTAAACCAGTATAATGCAACTTAATGGGGATTTTTCCATGTAAACCAGTATTATGCAACTTAATAGGGATTTTTCCATGTAAACCAGTATAATGCAACTTAATAGGGGTTTTTTACATGTAAACCAGTATAATGCAACTTAATAGGGTTTTTTCCATGTAAACCAGTATAATGGAACTTAATAGGGATTTTTCCATGTAAACCAGTATAATGCAACTTAATAGGGATTTTTCCATGTAAACCAGTATAATGCAACTTAATAGGGTTTTTTTCATGTAAACCAGTATAATGCAACTTAATAGGGTTTTTACATGTAAACCAGTATAATGGAACTTAATAGGGGTTTTTACATGTAAACCAGTATAATGCAACTTAATAGGGATTTTTCCATGTAAACCAGTATAATGCAACTTAATAGGGTTTTTACATGTAAACCACTATAATGTAACCTAATAGGGGTTTTTACATGTAAACCAGTATAAAGCAACTTAATAGGGATTTGTACATGTAAACCAGTATAATGCAACCTAATAGGGATTTTTCCATGTAAACCAGTATAATGCAACTTAATAGGGATTTTTCCATGTAAACCAGTATAATGCAACTTAATAGGGATTTTTCCAT